TAGATAGATAGATAGATAGATAGATAGATAGATAGATAGATAGATAGATAGATAGATAGATAGATAGATAGATAGATAGATAGATAGATAGATAGATAGATAGATAGATAGATAGATAGATAGAGAGAGAGAGAGAGAGATAGATAGATAGATAGATAGATAGATAGATAGATAGATAGATAGATAGATAGATAGATAGATAGATAGATAGATAGATAGATAGATAGATAGATAGATAGATAGATAGATAGATAGATAGATAGATAGATAGATAGATAGATAGATAGATAGATAGATAGATAGATAGATAGATAGATAGATAGATAGATAGATAGATAGATAGATAGATAGATAGATACATAGATAGATAGATAGCCCCACACAGAGAGAGCGATAGATAGATAGATAGATAGATAGATAGATAGATAGATAGATAGATAGATAGATAGAGAGAGAGAGAGAGAGAGAGAGAGAGAGAGAGAGAGAGAGAGAGAGAGAGAGAGAGAGCAAAAGCACGCAGATTTGTGGTAGCTCAACGCTCGAAACCATTCCTGATAAACTTCAGCCGACACAGCTGGTACACGTAATTGATAGATTGGTGCATCGAAACTTAGCCGGAAGCTAAGAATACTCAAGTTGAAGTGCACCCTGGATAGATACAATATTCCTCCCGTAGTCGACGGAAACTATGTGAGGCGACCTACTAAGCTTTCAACATTCGAGGAATGGCTCCAAGTCGGGTTCGCATCAGACCTCGGAAAATACAGTAACATACGGCATTGCTTCCGCTTCGTTAGCATAATAAGCACGACAATATCACTGGCAACAATAATAAGTACGACGCAATTATTGACAATTCCTCCATTACAAGCGTTAACTGTCAGTGGCTGAAGTCAAGCGCCTACGGCAACTTACCAGAGTAGTGACGTCCCACATTGTCTTGTTAGCGCGCCGGAATACGAGCATCTCGAAGTTCGCCGGGAGCAAACTGCCGCGCTGCGGTGTCAGCACCCACTTGCACTCCAAAAACAGGCGCTCGCACGAGTTGGATGTCGGTGGCACCATCGCCGCCAGGGCGACGTACGCCACACGCTCTCCTTTGCGCCGCTTGGTCCCGCCGCCCTGCCGGATGATCTCCGCAGCGTAGTCTTGCTCCCGACCCGCGCGCTCGTCTTCAGCCGCGCGTCGTGGCATCTCAGCTTGTGAGCGCTCCAGCCGATTCAGCGCCGTAGCCTCCGACGTTGATAGGCTTTCACCAGCAGCAAATTTTGCGAGCCCGTGCCCAAATGCGGGGGAGTGCACAATTTTTGACGTGGGTTTTAGGTATTCACCTACAATTGGGTAGTCAGCCACAACCGAGTCAAAATGAAGGCGTACCTCGCACTCGTCGACTCACACTGCAGTCGCTTGCACACACTGTCGAGCTTACGCAGATGACGAAACACGTCCCCAGCTGCTTGTGCTCGCCACTGGTATGAAAGTCGTCTTCCACGGCCTCCACGAGTCGGATGTGCGATCGCAGGTCCATGTAGCGCTCTAGCATCTCGAAGGTCGACGATCGACGACCAGCGCTTCGTGTTGCGTTTCTTGGCGCGGAGGAGAGTGAGCTTGCGGAGGTCGGAGGCGTTGTTTGGCTAGCGTAGCTGAGACATTAGGCTGTTAACCTTTTGTAACAGCGACTCGTGTTCCGTTAATAATTTTTTAATCGCCAGGTTAAATCGGTGCGACGCACAACCGACCAATGAGACGCCGAGCTTCGTAGTAATACTGCGATTGGTGTTGCAGTTGACCGCAACAATGAACTGGATCATGTCCACCGTCTTGTTGTAAACGGCCAACACGTTTCGGAACAGCTCGATGTGTGCATCGGCGTCCTGACTTCCGTCGTCCATCGGCGACAGCGCCAGCAGCGTGCGCTGGAGTCGACCGCCCACCACGTCGAGACCACCACGTAGAGAGCGTAGACCCGACGAAGTGCATGGTTCCGTGGCTCCAGCCGTCGAACAGCAAACCGAACAGGATGCCCATCTCGTCGCTGATCACGATGCCCAGCTTCCCCGCCACCGTAAACATGTCCGCCTTGAGAGCCTTGGAGTTGATGGGGCGCCACTCGGACATACTCGCGTCCTCTCGTCGTCGACCTCACACAAAGGGAAGCTCCGTTCAACAACCCACCGCAACCACTGGTAGCAGCGGGATGTTTCTTCGGACACAAAGCCGAATGCTTGGAGGGGGCGATCGGCACCGCGGTGACGGGCGTCGTACTGGTCGAGAAAGTCGTCGTGCCGGCTCGCCCGGTGCCAGACGACGTTGGAGTAGCCCGTACCGGGCAGCTGCTTTCGGTCTGCTCCATCGAGCTTGCAACGATGAAGCGCTTGGCCTTAATGCTCGAAGAAGAAAGTGCAGAGGTCCCTGTTAGAAGCCATGGTGCTTTGAAAGTGAAATTATGGTTCGTGCTCAAAGCGATAGCTGGCCAAATCACGGCTGGGCGTTAGGAGCCACTCACCATAGTTTAGCAATGTTGCCTCTCGGCGGTCAACCCAAGTAGCCAACATGAACCGGACCGGATAGTGAACCGGGACTTGTTAACCGGACCAAGTCCACTTGGACCAAATTGTATTGCCATAATTGCCTCAATTTATTATTTTTTTAAAGTGTGGGTGGGCCATTAATCGACCAGGTCCCAAACGCCGCTCCCAATGAGGAGAGCCAATCATAAGTGAGATTCCAAATGACTTCAACAAAGTATGGACTGGTTTATCGGCTCCAAAGCCAAGAAAAAACCTTAAGGTATTATTTTTGGCCGGCTGCGCAGCCTTCTCCGCCTTCACACTTTCCGCCCCGCATCGCCAACACGACAGCGCGCTCTGAGCGTGCCGCACGCCTCCCCCGCCGACCACCCCAGACCCGAGTGCCCCCAGGCGCGCCCCACGCGCCCCACGCAAGGACCCGTCGAAAGCAGCTACAAAACCCGGTAGGGCGGGTGTTATGCTGACGGTTTTGGTAGCTGTCGGCCAAGCACGAGGTCGTGCGCGCTCGCTGACGGTATGTGAGCGTTTTTCTATTGTGTATGACTTTGTATCGGGACTGACGGGAATCCATGCGCTCTGCTTAAGTTGTGGGATGGCGATGACGGGTGCATTTGCGTCTTGAATTCGTTGTATGAATAGGAATGTATTAAGCGTTAATACAAGCTGCGTGATCCTACGACTCCAAGTCGTTTTGCTTCCATTGGTGACTAGCTGGTGTGCAGCGGTCGACGATGCCACCGTTCGCTTTGCGGGTGATAAATGCTGAGCAGAGCGCGTCGTACGCAGAGCGGTGGTCAACGCGCAGCTTTCTCCAGCGCTTCCGTAGCGACCCCGCGGTTTTGGATCGGCCTTTACCGTCGATACTCCCAAGCGCAGCGTTGACCTTCTTGTCCAAGTCTTCCGCTAGCGTCCAGACACGCAGCTTCCACAGCCGATACACAACGCCGTCCCGGTCTAGTGGCGCCGTTGGTACGTCTACCTCTCGCCCTGCTGCTATGATCATGATGTTGACGCCTGCCTTGAGGTCAGCGCGAACAAATTGTTGTTTCTTTTGGGTTGCCGTGTGCCACAGCTCCAGTGTGTACCAGTTGTAGAAGCAGCCAGCAAGAGAGTGCGCTTCAACGACGATGTCAGTGCTCGCCTGCGGGGCCTGGCCAGCACAGCGACAAGGAGCAGGACCGTCAGCGCTGGTGGACTTGCTCTCGTGGACCGCGACGAGCTTCTGAAGTGTGCGCTGCATTGCTGCGATGGACGATAGCATCTGGGTGACGGCTGCGGCAAGTATGGTGGTGTTTCCATTGCTGCGTTCACCCAGCTGTCCGAAGTTCTCCGTTTGCCAAGCCGTGCGAAGCTGCCGACCCCAACCAATGCACGTGTCCAGCGAGAGCCGAGCTCCCAGCGCTACGTTGGTTGCGTCCAGAGCTTCGTGGAAGCGGTACAGGTAATGCGATGTGAAGCCTGTGGCAGCCTGCTCCTGCTGGACTGCTGTCGCGACGTCGTCAAGATGGATGAGCAGGGACGCGAACGCCGCATCCAGGACTAAGGCGTCAACGTTGAGCGTGGTGTCCGTGAAGCCGCTGACGTTCTTGAAGAGCTGGCCGCGCAGGGTTAACAGCTGGGCGTACTCGAGCGCAGGAAGAAGCTCGCTCAAGGTGGCAATCGTGGGCGTGACGCATGGCAGGTGCGGGTCTCGGTATCCAGCGAAGACTTTACCGACACTCTGGTCCTCGCATGTCGTGGTACCCACGTACGCGAACGCCTTCGTGAGCGAGTCCAGCAGCCAAGCTCCCCGGGTCGAGATCCACTGGACCGCAAGCTGCGGTGAGGCGTTTGCATACGCTGCGGAGCCGCGGCGCAAGGAGTGGCTGCTCAGCCCTGCGGTGAGCGTCGGGGGCAGCGGGGCAGAGGCCTGGGCTTGGCGCTCGCAGACCATGGTGGTGACGTCGTTAATATACTTGGACACGTTGGGCCTTCCTCTCACGCGCTTTGTTGGTGGCTCGTTCCTTGGTTCAGCTTTCTCTTCAAGGTTCTCCCAGTAGAGTATAGCTTCGTCTTGGCTGTAGGTCTTCTCCCCTGGCAAATCCGATGCCGCCGCGTGCGGCACTAGCGGGAACACATAGCTGGAAGGCTCCGACGCTCCGACGAACAGCATTCCGAGGCCGTGCAGTATACACTGCTCCCAGTGAGTCGTGGCCTTGTAAATTGAGATGCCTTGAACCACCGAAGTCTTGATTCGAGCTAGATGCAGAAAGAGCTCCCCCGATGCCGCCATAGATAGCTGGCTCTTCCTAGCAAAACAGGTATCGATCGCTCGACCAAACGTGTGCCACATTAACGTTAGTACAGCAGCGTCATGCAAACTCTTATAACCTGAGCCAACCCCCTTAATCGCAGTTTCCTGCACCAGAACACGCAAGTCGCTGAGCGTGCAGCCTGGAGCTTCACCAGTCTGCACGCCAGCTAGCAAATTTCGCTCCTCAATAGTTGAACCCATTTTGTCGCGTATTTTCGCAATTCGCTTGCTGTCTGACAAGTACAGAGGGTACCGCTCTCGGAGCAGGTTCACAACTTGGGACATATAGCCCACAGCAGTAGCCTTAGCAAGACGGCCTCCTCGAGCACTTGGCTTAGTTTGCAAGAAAATGGAGAAGGCGGTTAGCAAAGAGTAAAAGTTTTGATTTGGTAGAGCATCAGGAATAGACAGCGACTTCGCAATACTAGCAATTGACTCCTCATTCATGTTAGCAAGAGCTAAGAATTCGCTGAAGCACTTCATCGCCGCTTCCTCCTGCCCTGCTGTCCCTTGCGGGATGTCAAGCCCTCTCGGCACCCGCTGCATCTTTTCAAATGGGAGAGGAGAGAAAGCAGACGAGTCACAGCCACCAACGATACAATCATGATTTGTATTGCGAATTTGCGGTCAAATATGAGTAATGCAACAATTACACTAAACTTTTGTATTGGACATTATTCTAGCAAGACTGTAAATTCCCAAAATAATTGGGAAAATGTTGGGATACACACGAATCGATCGTGATTGGCTAGATTCATTGAAGAACTTGTCCTGATTGGATAGATGCAATGACAGAGAAGCGCAAGGAATGCCAAGTTGGGAGAAAGCTTCCTTATCCTACAATAATCTATATTATAATATAGTGAATACAGTTATCGCAATTCCGCAATTCTTTTTTCCGAGACCTGGTTCGCATACAAGCCAATACTTTGGAGTGTTCGATAGCTTAAAAGAAACACAAGACACGCCTCTTTCGATAAATTCGGTTAAATCGCGATTCGTACTTAGGTTCGTAAGCAACTTTTTGTTTGACGCGGTCTCATTTAGGGTCACTTATTCGGCTCAAGTTGCCTCTACGTCGACGCAATCTTCTAGCGTTCCAATAACGATGAGGGTACATTGATTCGATTCTTGACTTAAACTCGTAGGTGATCGCTAGCAGACCCCTAATGCGGCCTCGGTAGTCATGTTGGTAAGACATGCGCCAAAATATCAAACCATGTTGTTTTGTAAGCGCTTGCACCTATATTTACGCAATCCACACGATCCACGGGCAGATTCTGCGGCTGCGAAGCAGGCGCAGGAGATGCCCGACAATGCACCACCACTATTAGCACGAAGTACAACCGATTCTAAAGCAAAATCAATAAAACGAATTTGACTCGATGAATTTGCAAATGAACTGGGCCAGCCTCCGTCCTGCCATCATGTTGACCGAGCGAAAACAAATCCGATGGATGTCGCTTGAGTGGCAGATAAATTAGAAGTCACAGGTTTATATACTTGATTAGAGGGTATTCAATAGAATAGGTACTTTGACTTAATCTCAAACGGATGGGTCAACATAGCAGCATAATTTGAAAATATAGCCGGCTATCTATTATAACAGGTATCGCAACAAATAAAAATCACTGTCTATCAAAACCATCTTTAACAGGTTTTTGATGTAAGAATAATAGCAATAAAATCCAGAGAATACGAGAAATCTATGAAAAGTATGAAAAATTGCAGACAAATACGCGAGTGTCGACACTGTTGTTTCTGAAACGGATTCGAAGACGTGAATTTATTCACACTGGGTTCATGGCCAGGATCAGTCTGCTGCTAAGACTAGTGCTTCCTGTGTGTATACACTTACGCATTACATCGAACGGTGAGCTAGAGCGGATGGCGGCCGTTGCGTGCACACCAAGATCGTCGTACCTTCGAGAGGACCGCTTAGTGGCGGAGAGAGCGGCGGCGGGATTGCGTCGCCGATTGCTGCGTGGTCGAGTCACCCGTGTACGTGTCCGCTGACGAGGTGCCCGAGGACGTCGTCGACGTCGCGGGGACGCCAGTCTTGCCCGACGTGGTGGCCGAAGACGTCGAAGCGGCAGTGGTGGCAGCAGGGGCAGTCGTTGTTTCAGCGGCTGAGGTGGTCGAGGTCGTCGTCTCCGAGGCAGTCGTAGTAGCAGTCGACGTCGTCGCGGCCGAGGTGGAGTCGACACCAGTCTTGCCCGATGCGGTTTCGGTGCTGGCGGTGGTGGAGCTTCCGGTGCTAGGACTGTTGGTGATCTCAATCCAGGTGTTCGTCGACGTTCCCGACGTGGTGTCCGACGAACCCGAGCACGGTGCATTCGCCGTGTCCGTTGCAGCGCCCCATGTACCAGTGGAGCCCCACGAGTCGGACGTCTCGCTAGCAGCGGTCACCGTACCAGCCTGCTCGGTCCCGGTGGTACCCCAAGTGCCGGTGGTGGTGCTGTCGGTGTTCGACGTATCCGCGCCGCTGGTCTGATGCGTCGTGCCGGTCGAGGTTGCACCCCCCGAGGTTTGCTGGGTGGTCGTGCCTGTGCTAGTAGTTGTGTCGGTCGAGGCTCCCCAGGTCCCCGTCGAGCTCTGGTCGCCCGAGCAATGCGTCTCGGCAGAAGTCGTATCGGTGCCAGTTCCCCAGCCGGTCGTGGCCGTCCCAGTGCTGGTTCCATAGCCTGACGTCCCTGTCGTCTGCTGCGAGGTGGTGTCGGTGCCCGAGGTAGTATCTGTTGAAGCCCCCCAAGCGCCCGTGGAGGCCGTGCCGGTAGCAGTACCCCATCCGGACGTCCCAGTCGTGGCAGTGTCGGCGCCAGTGCTGGTTCCCCAGCCCGAAGTCCCCGTCGTCTGCTGAGACGTAGTGGTGTCGGTCGAGGTGGTGCCAGCACCAGAGACTCCTTGTGTACCCGTCGTATCCGAGTCTCCGCTAGCACACGGCGTCTCGGCCGAGTCGGTGGTGGTGTCCGTGCTAGCACCCCACGTGTCGGTGCCGCCAGTAGTGGCAGTATCCGTTCCGGTGCTCGTTCCCCACGTGTTGGTGCCGCTGGTGGTTGCAGTGTCAGCCCCAGTGCTGGTTCCTCCCCAGGTGCCCGTGCCGTTGGTGATGCCGGTGCTAGTTGTCGTCCCTTGCGTAGTCGTGTCCGCTCCCTGCGTCGTGGTGTCCGCCGAGGTAGTTGAAGTCGACGGCGAAGAAGAAGCAGTCGTCGTGTCCGACGAAGTGGTCGTTGTGTCGGTCGACGGAGTGGTCGCAGTCGTCGAGCTTTGCTGGGTGGCCGAATCAGCCGTGGTGCTCGCGGTCGAGTCCGTCGCGCTGGTGTACGAGTCGCCCGATGACGTTGAAGTGGACACGCCCGTGCCCGTTCCTGCCGTCTTGAGATTGCGCAGCGCGCTGTTCTGTCGAACTACCGAGTTGGTGGTGGCGTCCGCGAAAGCCCCCATGGCCAGCGACAGCAGAGCGAGGTGCGCGAAGATCTTGCTGAGGTTCATTCTGCGAGCGTCGAGTACTGCTGAATGGGGCGAGTTGATGGGGCGAATCAAGCTCAGGCGGGTGTTTGTTTTGCTTTGCTTGTGGAAGGCTAAGCAAAATCGAGAATGAGTCGAGTTGACTCGCTCAGCGCAAGTTCATGGGTCTAGGAGCAGCCTGTTCCAGTGCCTCCAAGTTTTATCCATCCTTACGGCGAATCCGTTGCAGGTGTACAGCTCTAAGCTCCAGCTCTAGCGCGAGCTACACCAAGAGGCGGGTCGAGTCCGTGGTGAACATCCTTTTCAGAGATGTGCTCGGAGGCTGCCATCTGACGGGTGCGGCGGAAGTTAAATGCCACAGCACTAGCTGCTAGCTGCTGCAGTCTTCATGTACGCATTGTAGCGAGCTAGAGGCAGCGCGGGAAGTGGACACTTCACGCACAAACATGCTGCGCGAACGACACGGCTGGGTGAGGCACCATTATTTAATAGCATGGCAGCTGTGTCATACAGCTCACATGTGTGTTGGTCGGCAGGAGGCTCGGCTTGCAGCTGGCCATCCGCCCCGCTCACGTCCTGCTGGCGCTGCTCGGCCAACATGGAGCTGCCGGAAGCATCGTCTCGGTGTGTTTCGGGCGTAAAGGACCATTGTCTTCTAGACCGAATCTTTCGCTCTCGCTGTCGTGTCGGGTACAAGCAGGCTGCTGTGCCTGGGTATTCCGACTGGATCCCTTGCGTCAGAGCGCGGCCAGGTCTTCGCGCGAACTCTACATGCGCGAGACCTGCGCAGTCGTAGAGGCCTGCCCATGGTGCGCCACGCTGCACTTGTACGAAAGTATCCACGCGCTCGGATCTGTCGGGCACATCGTCGACCAGCGTAACAGTACAATGCAACAACGCCGACCATTTCGGTGCACGAAGGCGCGTCTTCAACGTAGAGGGCTTGAGTAGATGCTGCACAGTTATTGCCCTTTGTTGCGGTAAGATCGAGCTAGAACTAAAGTCTTTTCGGTATGTCGTGCGCTAAATGATTTTGGGCGACGTTGTTTGGAATGCATGCATGCGGTTTGTGCTTTTTGGGAAGAGCGGTTCGAGGGAGTGTCCCTTCATGTATTGATAACGATCGAGGCTACAGTATGCTGAGGCAGCCAGGGCTCGTGAGCTTCTCATCAGTTGAAATGAGGCAGCTTTGTGAGCTGGGGCTATTATGGCGCTACGAAAGTCACCGTAAAGGCAGCGGGCGAGAGGAAAATCCAATGTGAGGCCACAGCCGCGGGGCGCTGTTTGTGTTACTGCTGTTTGCTCGAGGCACTGACTGGCAACTTGCTCTGGTTAGAAGCTTTTCGACGATGGGCCAGCATCTAAAGGTTACTTGTAACACTGGGTGAACAAGTCTCAAACGATGCATTGGGGGCGCCCCAACAATGCTGATACAGGGGGGGCATCCCCGTCGGAAATTAGTGATGTCGAGGTCGCTGAAGTCTGACTCAAATTCCGAGTGCGCCGTGTAAAGGAGTATGGCCGCGCAACTAGCGGAGACTGGTGTAGTCCTCGGATGGGAGACAGTAAGTCGATTGGTGAGTTCGGCTTACCCGATTTCCCACCTGCATACTTGCGCACCGCCAGCTGATAGTCGACTTGGTCTGAAGTGCCGAGACCGCTGGCGACGCAGGCTTCTCGACCATTATCTCGGGTTTGAGGTCTCGTCTCCAGTGTTCTCGTGCAGGACATGTACTGTACTCGTTGTTAGTCGCGCGTGGCATCTGGCCATGCGTGTCAGTGGGCAAACTTGGATACTCTTCACCGCGCGTTCGGTTTCTACTGTCGATCGATGCAAACTGCATCTTGTGGCCCGACGACCCAAAGGTGCCTGTGCATGGCACATCGAGAGAGTGTCGTAGTAGGCCTGGCCCTTCGTGGGGGCATCGAGCTTCCTTCGCATGAATACCAAAAGGTCATTCCCCAATTTACCTTGCTTCGCCGACAAGCATCGTGCCTCCCCCCAGCACCTGAACGTGCTACCGTACATTCACACTCCATCCTCGTCGTCGGAGAATGAAGATCAGCAAGATCATCGCATTCCTGGCCGTTGCGTCATTGACGGTGGGCTCCCTCGCGGACGCCTCGGTCGCGCGGAAGCTTGGAGGGGGTGGGGGTGTTTCGTCCTCGACTACGACCTCGTCGCTCTCGAGCGACGACACGTACACCTCGACGACCCAACAGAGCGGTGACTCGGCCACCCAGCAGAGCACTGCGACCACGACGACGACAACCACACCGGCCACCTCAACTACGGGATCTGCAACCCAAAGCTCCAACATTCACCAGAGTGGTGTATCGGCCGACACCCCGTGTGCAAGTGGAGACTCTGACACCGACAACAACAATTGGACTGGGAGTGTGACAGCTGCAGGGCAGCAGTCGCAATGGGGACCAACCAGCACTACCCACGGCGGCGAATCGGCGGAGACGCCGTGCTCGGGCAACCAGAGCTCCACGGGCACGTGGGACCAGTCGACCGAGACCACCTCCAGCTCCAAGGGTGACAAGCAGCAGCAGGGGCAGTCGGCCCAGACGACGGTGTCGGGCTCCGTTGGTGTGGACATCACGGCGCAGGGCCAGCAGGGCCAGTCGTCTGGAACCTTGGGTCAGTCGACTAAGTCGTCTACTCAGCAGGGCCACACTTCGCGGAGTTCTGTGTCGGCCTCTATTGGTGTCAGCATTTCCGGAAAAGGTGGTAACTCAGTAGAGACTCCGTGTTCCGAAGACCAGAGCTCCACCGGCACGGGGGGCCAGTTGACGAAATCTTCAAGCGGCCAAGGCCATGGTTCGACCGGCACTCAGGGGCAGTCGGCGCAGACCTCTATTAAGACCAGTGGCAAGAAGCAACGGCAGTGGGGAGCGTCGGTTGGGACCTCCGTGTCAGGCTCGATTGGTGCGAACGTATCGGGTCAAGGCGGTGACGCTGCAGAAATCCCGTGCTCTGGTGACCAAAGTTCGACAGGTGCGACTTCATCCTGGACTACCCCGGACTACAAGCACGGTGTGTTAGCCGGCTCGGTCTCAGCGACCACTGAGACTCTCTCCGCGGATTCCACCAGCCCTGGTGCTACTAAGACCGCTGCTCCGACAACAACCTCGACCCCGGCGACCACCAGTGCTACCAAGGCAGGCAAACTGGAGTCTCGGCCAAGACGGCGTCAGCTACTTCGTCCGGCACCTCGTCGGCTGACTCGTACGCGGACTCGACTACGCAGCAATCGGCCACCCAGTCCCGTCGTGCACTTCGCACTAAACACACTTCTCGTTGGAAAGGAGGTGGAGCCATTTTGCGGCGTGGCGATAGTATGAAGTACTTCTGCTGAACTGCGCCGTCGTTGCATATAGTACTACTATAATTTTTGAATTGAAAAGTGTTTTAGTCACAAACCCCGCAGAAGCGGCTTCAACCCGCGTGCAGTCCAATGGCGACATAACATATCTAGAGCCACTTCTTCAGAGCCGACAGTACTTCAGCGATGTAATGGCGGTCCTTGACGGTCGCCTTCGCCCCAAACTCTGTTACAAACCAACGGGCATTTGAGGTGGGAAAAGTAAACGCAATGGCGTATCGATCGATAGAGGGCAGTGAGAAATAATCGCCGCAGTTGTCGCTGCGGAAACATAAGAGTCCTGAATGCTCCATTATATGTGATGTATCCTAGGCTAGGATCCCTAGTCTTGTCGAACGATCGACTGTTTCGGCCAAGCTCACTAACTAACACGTCCGGCACCTGCCAAGTACCTTCTCTCCTGCTTGATGGCGGCAATCGCTGTTGCATCGACTGATGACCAGCCAGTAGTTACCAGTGAAAATGCTCCATTCCCGGATACAGTACCTTTTGATTGTCCTTTCACCAAAAATGCACTGTACTTGAAGTGCAACAGATGGCGATCTTATACCGTTGTAATGACGCTTGCAACAAGACGGCTGTGACCCTAGTCGAACTTCTGGTCAACATTCGATTGACTGTACTGTAGTCTTGACGAACGTAATAAGCACCTGAGGTGTCGCTATGACCCTATGCCCCTAGAAATTATAGAGCGCTATTGTACTCTCATAGGAGGTAACTTCCAATTCGTAGCGTACACCAAGTGCCTCATCGCGGTCGTGGCGAGTGAGTGCCCCATTCGATCTCATTTTCACTTTTGCTCCGCAGTCACCACCACTGCGGCAAGTAGCTCTTCCTGTCAACGTCCAGTCCACGTACCAAGTCTACGTCCTCTCTGTCCTAAAATGAACCTCATCAAGACCATCGCGCACCTCGCCGTCATTGCGGCCGCTGTGGGCTCACTCGCGGAGGCTGGAAACATCAACCACAAGCCCACGCAACCCGGTGTCTCCAACGACGACGCGTTCGTCACTCCAACTCCGGCGACGAGCACTCCAACTGTCACCCCCGTTCCGACCACTGCTGCTCCTAGTGCGACTGAGGCCCCGGTGGCGACTCGTGTTCCAGCAATTCCAGCGCCGACACCTTGCGCAACTCCTGTCCAGTCGACGGATTCAGCGGGCGCAAGCTCTGCGCCCGTGCCAGCCGACCCTACTAACGAAAATCAGGACGGATCAAAACTCGGCCACGACTCGCCCACCAACAAAAAAAACAACAGCGCAGCTCACGACGACAAGCCTGCCTTGGCAACCAAAGATGAAGGTGAACGTGGTGGGTCCAGCACAACCACCAGCGCCAGCGGGGTTCATGCTAAAGCACCAAGCAGTGTCACGCCTACGAAAAATGTCGTGGCAAAGGCCGAAGCCGGCCTTGATGCCAATGCCGGATTAAACGCAGGCACCGGCCTCGGAGCCAACACCGACTTGAACGCAGGAGCTGGCCTCAACGCTGGAGCGGGCCTCCGCGCGGGTGCAGGGCTCAATGCCGGTGCCGGCTTGAACGCTGGAGCTGGGCTTGGAGCCAACGCAGGGCTGCACGCTGGAGCTGGGCTTGGAGCCAACGCCGGCTTGAACGCTGGAGCTGGCCTCAACGCTGGAGCAGGACTCAATGCCGGTGCCGGCTTGAACGCTGGAGCTGGTCTTGGAGCCAACGCAGGGCTGCACGCTGGAGCTGGGCTTGGAGCCAACGCCGGCTTGAACGCTGGAGCTGGCCTCAACGCTGGAGCGGGCCTCCGCGCGGGTGCAGGGCTCAATGCCGGTGCCGGCTTGAACGCTGGAGCTGGGCTTGGAGCCAACGCAGGGCTGCACGCTGGAGCTGGGCTTGGAGCCAACGCAGGGCTGCACGCTGGAGCTGGGCTTGGAGCCAACGCCGGCTTGAACGCTGGAGCTGGCCTCAACGCTGGAGCGGGCCTCCGCGCGGGTGCAGGGCTCAATGCCGGTGCCGGCTTGAACGCTGGAGCTGGGCTTGGAGCCAACGCAGGGCTGCACGCTGGAGCTGGGCTCGGAGCCAACGCCGGATTGAACGCTGGAGCTGGCCTCAACGCTGGAGCAGGGCTCAATGCCGGTGCCGGCTTGAACGCTGGAGCTGGGCTTGGAGCCAACGCAGGGCTGCACGCTGGAGCTGGGCTTGGAGCCAACGCCGGCTTGAACGCTGGAGCTGGCCTCAACGCTGGAGCGGGCCTCCGCGCGGGTGCAGGGCTCAATGCCGGTGCCGGCTTGAACGCTGGAGCTGGGCTTGGAGCCAACGCAGGGCTGCACGCTGGAGCTGGGCTTGGAGCCAACGCCGGCTTGAACGCTGGAGCTGGCCTCAACGCTGGAGCGGGCCTCCGCGCGGGTGCAGGGCTCAATGCCGGTGCCGGCTTGAACGCTGGAGCTGGGCTTGGAGCCAACGCAGGGCTGCACGCTGGAGCTGGGCTTGGAGCCAACGCCGGCTTGAACGCTGGAGCTGGCCTCAACGCTGGAGCAGGACTCAATGCCGGTGCCGGCTTGAACGCTGGAGCTGGGCTTGGAGCCAACGCAGGGCTGCACGCTGGAGCTGGGCTTGGAGCCAACGCCGGATTGAACGCTGGAGCTGGCCTCAACGCTGGAGCGGGCCTCCGCGCGGGTGCAGGGCTCAATGCCGGTGCCGGCTTGAACGCTGGAGCTGGGCTTGGAGCCAACGCAGGGCTGCACGCTGGAGCTGGGCTTGGAGCCAACGCAGGGCTGCACGCTAGAGCTGGGCTTGGAGCCAACGCCGGATTGAACGCTGGAGCTGGCCTCAACGCTGGAGCGGGCCTCCGCGCGGGTGCAGGGCTCAATGCCGGTGCCGGCTTGAACGCTGGAGCTGGGCTTGGAGCCAACGCAGGGCTGCACGCTGGAGCTGGGCTTGGAGCCAACGCAGGGCTGCACGCTGGAGCTGGGCTTGGAGCCAACGCCGGATTGAACGCTGGAGCTGGCCTCAACGCTGGAGCGGGCCTCCGCGCGGGTGCAGGGCTCAATGCCGGTGCCGGCTTGAACGCTGGAGCTGGGCTTGGAGCCAACGCAGGGCTGCACGCTGGAGCTGGGCTTGGAGCCAACGCCGGCTTGAACGCTGGAGCTGGCCTCAACGCTGGAGCGGGCCTCCGCGCGGGTGCAGGGCTCAATGCCGGTGCCGGCTTGAACGCTGGAGCTGGGCTTGGTGCCAACGCAGGGCTGCACGCTGGAGCTGGGCTTGGAGCCAACGCCGGCTTGAACGCTGGAGCTGGCCTCAACGCTGGAGCAGGACTCAATGCCGGTGCCGGCTTGAACGCTGGAGCTGGGCTTGGAGCCAACGCAGGGCTGCACGCTGGAGCTGGGCTTGGAGCCAACGCCGGCTTGAACGCTGGAGCTGGCCTCAACGCTGGAGCGGGCCTCCGCGCGGGTGCAGGGCTCAATGCCGGTGCCGGCTTGAACGCTGGAGCTGGGCTTGGAGCCAACGCAGGGCTGCACGCTGGAGCTGGGCTTGGAGCCAACGCAGGGCTGCACGCTGGAGCTGGGCTTGGAGCCAACGCCGGATTGAACGCTGGAGCTGGCCTCAACGCTGGAGCGGGCCTCCGCGCGGGTGCAGGGCTCAATGCCGGTGCCGGCTTGAACGCTGGAGCTGGGCTTGGAGCCAACGCAGGGCTGCACGCTGGAGCTGGGCTTGGAGCCAACGCAGGGCTGCACGCTGGAGCTGGGCTTGGAGCCAACGCCGGATTGAACGCTGGAGCTGGCCTCAACGCTGGAGCGGGCCTCCGCGCGGGTGCAGGGCTCAATGCCGGTGCCGGCTTGAACGCTGGAGCTGGGCTTGGAGCCAACGCAGGGCTGCACGCTGGAGCTGGGCTTGGAGCCAACGCAGGGCTGCACGCTGGAGCTGGGCTTGGAGCCAACGCCGGATTGAACGCTGGAGCTGGCCTCAACGCTGGAGCTGGCCTCAACGCTGGAGGAGGGCTCAATGCCGGTGCCGGCTTGAACGCTGGAGCTGGCCTCAACGCTGGAGCTGGCCTCAACGCTGGAGCAGGGCTCAATGCCGGTGCCGGCTTGAACGCTGGAGCTGGGCTTGGAGCCAACGCAGGGCTGGACGCTGGAGCTGGGCTTGGAGCCAACGCCGGCTTGAACGCTGGAGCTGGCCTCAACGCTGGAGCGGGCCTCCGCGCGGGTGCAGGGCTCAATGCCGGTGCCGGCTTGAACGCTGGAGCTGGGCTTGGAGCCAACGCAGGGCTGGACGCTGGAGCTGGGCTCGGAGCCAACGCCGGATTGAACGCTGGAGCTGGGCTTGGAGCCAACGCAGGGCTGCACGCTGGAGCTGGGCTTGGAGCCAACGCAGGGCTGCACGCTGGAGCTGGGCTTGGAGCCAACGCCGGCTTGAACGCTGGAGCTGGGCTTGGAGCCAACGCAGGGCTGCACGCTGGAGCTGGGCTTGGAGCCAACGCCGGATTGAACGCTGGAGCTGGGCTTGGAGCCAACGCCCACTTGCGCGCGGGGGCTGGCCTAAGGGCAAACGCTGATGCTAACGGTGGCGCGCAAGGTGGTGTCGGTGCTAGTGCTTAAGCATCCGCTGCCGAAGCAGTGCGGAGGATTCGGTTAATAGTCATGAATATGAGAGCTGTTCTTCTTGGTTGAATCTTCTGATTGTCAAAGGTTTGTTCATTGCATTAACCTTTGAGCTTCTCTATGGTGACTCAACAGCAAGCGACTATACACAGAGCTCTACATACCGACTATCGACTGGCGTGTAGGTCGTCTATATCTAACACACTTACAGTGATTTATAATCCCTGGCAGCACTGGGCTCAACTGGCTCAGAGCCACTCGCACAGTCTCGCATATTCTACTTAGACACTAGCTGCTGCTGCTGCTGCGGCATGCCGTTTTCGGTTCGCTGCTTGTAGAACTTAGTACGTGTAGTTCAAGTTTTGTTTTTCAAGTCGGCCACCGAGATCTTTTCGTCCAGCACCAAGTTCTAGGCTTTCATCAGCTTGTAGTCTGCCACGGGTCACGGCCGTTTACGACCGTTTGGTCCCTGCATTTGAACTCTCTTCTCTGCTGACGTCCACTAAAACGTCACTCGCCTACTGTGCAGTGCGCTTGGTCGCTGTTGACGATCTTTTTACTCAGGTACCAAGGGCACAAAAGCGCACCGCGAAATGGCGAGGACAAAACTGCTTACCTAAAGCCCAAAGAGGTACCGATACGAACATGCAAGCAACGTCTATACTGTGCCCTACAAGTACGTAAACTGCAGTCAAGCAGCCAATGTATTTTTGCGCGTACACGTATCCATGAGAGAAAATCATGGCTTATCACGCTAGGCTGGAAAGGAAAGACACGAGCACCCATGCAGCTAAAATGATTGATAACAAGGACGAAGTTCTTGAGGAAGTTGCTGGTCGAGGCACCAAAATTGGTAGAACTTGCTGCCACCGTCGAAGTCAACAACGGTACCTAAGTATTAGATGTCGTTAAGACAGTCGTTGGGCGTGGTTGAGTCCATTGTGACTGTAGTTCAATACTAAGTATAGCTCCAGAAATGCGCCTGCCAGGCTTCAGTCGTGGCCTTGGCCGAGTCAGTGAAGCTTGGCATGATCGTCGGGGTCGACGATTTTCACTAAACGGCTTGGACCTTCAAAACCATGGGTTAGCAATTTTAAGGCGGATAGATTTATCGCTTCAACCAGAAGCCGAACACTTTCGTTCAGCAACAATCCGCTGGTCGCGTGTCTGTTGCGGCGGGTGGTGACCAGCTTATTTGCCGACCGCGCTCTAGCACAGTTTGCGCCGCCGGCGCTGGATGCAGACCAAGAAGATGTTCCACATGGTGGCAGGGTTGATCTTATGATACCGTTGTCATGACGTACATGCGCTGGTCAACATTTGAATGACTTTCTTTTCTTTTAAGCTTATCTGTATAATAAGCCTCCGAAAGAGCCGCCTACACTAGAAAACATGCTGGAGTGCTGTCGTGCTTCCGGTAGAGGAGGTGACTGTGTGGCTCCTTAATGAGGCACCTCCAGTTCGGACACCAAGTGCCTGCGGAGAGTCACCGCCCCAAGAGATGAAAACAAAGTCATTTTCATTTTTGCTCCGCACTTACAAGTACCGCTGCATGTAGTTTCCCTCTCAACGTCTAGTCCAAGTTTCCGTCCAGTCCTCAGTGTCTTTGTCAACAATGAACCTCACCAAGATCATCGCTCACCTCGCCATCATCGCGGCCACCATGAGCTCGCTTACCGAAGCCGGCAACATCAGCCAGCAAGCACCGCAAACCGGCGTCTCCAGCGATGATTCGTTCACGACACCCGTCCCAGCAACCGATACCCGATCGTCACCCCGGTTCCGACGACTACTGCCCCAAGCACCGCGGATGCCGCCATGCAGGCAACTCCTGTTCCTGCGGCTGCTACTCCACCCCCAACTCCTTGTGCGACGCCGTCTCCGACGACAAACGCAGCAGGTGAAAACACTACACCGAGCCCAGCCCAGCCGTCGGACAAGAAAAATGATTCGTCCAACAATTCACCTGCAACGAACCAAGACGATGCCAACAGCTCAGGCCACGACAACAAAACGGTCCCCTCGACTAAACCTGGTCTATCGACAGAAGAACGCACGACAAGTGGTGCTGCTACCACAGCAAGCGCTAGTATCGGCGGAGCTGCTCACGGTGGCGTTGCCGGCGGAGTCGGTGCCGGTGCAGGTGTCGGCGGCCGTGTAGGAGGTGGCGTTGCCGGTGGAGCTGGAGTCGGCGGTCACGTCGGCGGTGGCGTTGCTGGCGGGGTCGGTGCAGGAGCTGGTGTCGGCGGAGCTGCTCACGGTGGCGTTGCCGGCGGAGTCGGTGCCGGTGCAGGTGTCGGCGGCCGTGTAGGAGGTGGCGTTGCCGGTGAAGCTGGAGTCGGCGGTCACGTCGGCGGTGGGAGCTGGTGTCGGCGGAGCTGCTCACGGTGGCGTTGCCGGCGGAGTCGGTGCCGGTGCAGGTGTCGGCGGCCGTGTAGGAGGTGGCGTTGCCGGTGAAGCTGGAGTCGGCGGTCACGTCGGCGGTGGCGTTGCTGGCGGGGTCGGTGCAGGAGCTGGTGTCGGCGGAGCTGCTCACGGTGGCGTTGCCAGCGGAGTTTGAGCTTGATGGTACACCATTTGGTATTTGTTGTAGCAACAATGGTGGTAAAACGATATCAATGTAAAGTTGACGACCGCTTTGATCTACTTGTTAGGGCTGCTAATGGTAAAAAGGTATACCTTTCGTTAAGTAGGTTGCTACGTTATCAGCTGTCCGTCTGGTTGTATTGTCAATTTCATTGAATATGGACGAGCAAGCAGTATGGCCCTGCCTGACCACGACCCATGCAGTAGTGGCTCTTGCTTTAAATGCGTAGCTGATACTGGCCCGCACGCGTGACGTAGCGAACCCACTTCGTCGTCGGGTAGGAGCTCTTCTCGAAAACCTTGAGGAACCGCACGTGCAGTCCCGACGACGTGAACATGGGCACCTGGAACTCGATCTGGAGGGGTGGGCGCGACCACAGCTTCTCTTTTGTGCCCTTCATCATTTCGACCTCTGCGTCCAGCATCCGCTCCAGTTTACCCTGGAACTTGCGAATACGCCACACGATCGCGTGGTTTTCGGGCTCGTGCTTCGCCCTGCCGATGGGAACGTTAATCCGAGCTCGGGCAGTGTTCGGAGGTGTCTGCAACGCCGAAAGATAAGCAAGACACTAAGTAAGCAACAGCTCGGAAACTCAAGAAAATATCTCACTGCGCACCGGGATTTTGATGACGACGTTGGTGGCAAACATCCGCGGGCTGAAAAGTGAGGCCAGCTTCAGCGTCACCGAGAGTCGAGTCGTGCCCTGCTCCTGGTACGCCGGCATGATCTTGAAGGGCAGGTTGATATTCTCCGTCACGCGGTACTTCATGAGCTCGAACTCTCCGTCCGGCGGGATGAAAGTGATGGTACGATCGGCGTCGAACTTGCCGAGACGCACGCAGCGGTGGAAGGTGCAGTCGTCGATCTCGACCTCACGAGAGCCGCGCTTTTGACCCGCCACCTTGGCGGAGGGGGCGTCACCCTTCTGCATCGTGAGTTTGTCGTTGAGTCCGAGCTTGCACTCGGGCATGCCCGTCAGTAGCGTCTTCATGACCACTTGGCCCGCCACTTCGTTGCGCAGCACCGTGCCCGTCGAGGACATGAGCAAGTTGACGCTCTCAAACACGTCCAGGTACACTTCGTTCCTCTTGTACCGGATACCCTCACGACGCCAGTCGATAGCGCCGGTGATTTGGGACGTCAACTGCGAGGGAGGAGCTCCACCGGGGTTCTCCGGGGTCTGAAAGACAACAGATAGAAAGTCATAAAGAAGAACAAGGAACGTAATCTAAAGTAATAAAGCAAAGGAGGACATACCGCCAGAGAGGACCCGAGGTTGATAAACAGCTTGAGCACGTCGCTGGAGCAGTTCTGCGGGTAGCCGTGGTCCATGGTCTCGTCCAGCAGCTCGTACACGAGCGTGAAGTTGTCTCGGATGGTCTCCTCGTTGTACTTCTTGCCAAAATACTCTTTGAAGATGACGTTGAGCTGGTAGAGGAACTGGAAGACCAGCGCGGCGTTGATGTTGGCGCGCGAGACGGCCACGAGGTACAAGTTTTCGTGGCGCGTGTAGAGGAACGAGCAGCCGTCGATGACCTTGACGGGCGGCAGCGTGCCCGTCTCCTTGGCCGCGATCACCTGCAGCCGGAAGTTGTCAGCCGCGCGTCGACTCACATCGTCGCGGTAGAACCGGTTGAGCACGACCTCGCCCTTCTGGCTGATGAGGAACAGCGCGCTGATCATGGCGAACTAGCGATCGAGAGTCGAGAGATCTTCGGTCTAGCAGCGCAGTACGTAGGTAGGTAGGTAGGTAGGTAGGTAGGTAGGTAGGACCGAGGGCTTATCTGCTCCACGCCGCGCTTCCAGGACTGATGCGACCGGTCGAGAAGAGAAATCCTCCGCTCCTTGTAACGACCCGACTCGGGCTCGCGTCGCTTCGCGGCATTTTGTGTAGCGGTGGTGTTCACACACGCAGGCCGATCGCTATTATGGCGCCTTGCCAGTGCACTACGGTGTGAAGCTCGCGTCCACATTGTCGTCGGACCAGGGTGTGGCCATTAACATCTACTGCAGGTCACCAACGAGCTTGGCGTGAACCTGAACGACGACCGTACCGGCAACAAAGACACATCCACAACACTAGAGAAGTAGTACGTACATTAATATGAGCGCTCTTTGTCTGTTTCACCAGCTTAAAAGTTGTATTTCTCCCATTCGGAGACACCACGCAGGTCCTGCTATATTCATTGGGGCGGTCCGACTCCTGCTGCTGTCTCTGGCTGTCGCTTTCTGCTTCAATAATCTAGCGATGGCGCCTTGGGGGTGTGCTGGGCAACGAACCTGACGCGTTGATGCCGTTGGGATCGTCGTCGTCGAGGTAGTTTCCGTCCGGGATGGGTTCGTAGCCGTCCTTGGAGTTCTCTGCGTCGTCCGAGCTCTTCCCCCACAGCGTGTACAGCAGGAAATACAGCACGAAGATCTCCACGAGGTGCTTGGACGCCACAAAGAGCCACCACCACTTGGACTCGAGGTAGGCTCCGGCCTGGTGGAAATGTGCGAGGCTGATGATCGAGTAGGTGAGGAAGACGCAGTTGGAGACGAGGAAGAACGCGCAGATGGACGTGGCCCAGTTGACCGCCTTGATCCTTTCGGTGGTGTCGATCTGGCTCACCTCGAGGAACGCCTGCAGCACGGTCTTCATCCTGAACGAGTACACGAGCACCGCCGCGAGCGAGCCGAGCGACAGCAGACACATGACGACGTCGTCGTAGACCATGAGCCAGTACGAGTCCTCCCGCTTGGCCGCGAACACCGCGAAGCCCATGGCCTCGATGGCCACGATGGCCAGCAGCACGAAGAAGAAGAGCCGCAGCGGGTGCGACCGCACGCTCTCGTGCGTGAAGAGCCGGCGCAGCATGTCGGCCCAGAAGACGACGATGAGCACGAAGACGCTGTAGAGCAGGAAGGAGCCCAGCAGCTCCACGGCCTCGGCCAGCAGGAACTGGGCCCAGCCGTCGTCGCCCATCATGATCCGCGGGGGCTCCACCAGCACCGACTGCACGCCGTAGGGCGTGGCGAACCACAGCACGCGCGTGAGCGAGGCCAGCCCCATGAGCAGGTAGAAGCCGAGCGTCGCGGCCTGGCGCGTGGGCGACTGCGCGTGCATGGCGAAGGCCCAGAAGGAGAAGAAGCAGGCGCCGCCATAGGCCAGCGCCAGCACTGTGTCCACCTGGCGGTAGCGGAACTCGAGGTGGATCAGCGGCGCTGCGAGCGCATGGATACAAACAGAGAGAGGGAGAGAGAGCGTGAGCAGGTAGAGCGGGTAGAGCAGGTAGAGCGCTGCTAGGTGAGAGGTGGGGGAGCGCACCGTGGGTGCCGTCGTCCAGCGGCAGGCCCGGCGCGCTGGCGTCCGTCATGAAGCGCAACGATTAAGGTTTTGTAGGTTAGTTAGTAGAGTGGCGCAGTGTATCCGAATTGCGTCGTGAAACTCAGGATGAAGTTCGAAAATGTGGCATACACAGGTGGTACACTGTACCAATCAAACGTGGTGTTGTGGCAGCTTCAACTTTAGCCTGGAGGTTTGCAGTTGATCACAACGCAGAGTGGAGAGAGATCCAATCGATAGAAATGGCTGCGATGCGAGAGAATGAGAGGATCGTGTCAGTCTTTGTGAGGAGATGTTATTGATGGGGGCACTAGGCTGCAGATTGCGCCGCGCAGCTTCACAATCACAGCATTTGTGGCACTATCGACGTCGGAGGGAGGTTGTTCCGGTTGTCGGGGCTGTACCCGTTGGTAGGTTCGTTCCTGGCGGTTGCTTTAGCGGTGGTGGAGGCCAGTAGCTCGGCGACAACAGCGGCAATGATGAAAATCTTGCCTGTCTTTATCTGGCGTCGTTGACTTGCTGTCCACTTGCTCTCGATAAGAAGTAAAGAAAAATTAGCCGACTAGCGACAACAGTCGGCTGTGAAAAGTAAACTATATTGTCTCGTCAGCTAGTGAAAACAATATGTCCTTCAAGTATTCATGAGATGGCGTGAAGCGCTGGTTGGACAGAGCGCTAGCCCGTATCCATATGTGTGATGCGTATTGTTCAGCATCTTGCTAGGTAAGCGCACACTGGTTTCAACTCGGCGTACAGGGAAATATTAGGGACATATCGAACAACTTGCTGATAACTTATGAGAAGCATACGCAAAAGAGAGATGCTGACTTCTGAGGCAACAACTTGTTGCCTCAGAAGTTGCCAACAACACCTTAAACGGGCTCGACGTAAAACATTGAGTCCTTGCTCACATTGTGGTGCATCTTGGCAGTTGGAGACCCTAGCATTCCTTTCGGAAGTCGTTGCGCTATGAGTAGCCGACGATTCTCCTGCAAAGTAAGCACAACCGAACACTTGTCAGCCAGCTCGAGCTACAAAACAGCCCAGACAGCATCCTACCTCTTCGAAAGCTTGCTCAAAGTGGGCATGGCGGTGCAAAGCCTTAGCGGCCAGGCGCATGGTCTCGTGCTGCTCAGTAACTTTTTGTTGATGCTGCGAGAATGCCTCTATCCGATTGATATGCACCAGCAAGATTCGCGACTTGGCTTCTGCTCGTCGCTGCTTTCGCGCCTTGTCGAATTCAAAAGATAGACGATCTCCTTCTGCAGCAACACAAAATAGCGATACATCAGTAAGATGGAGCGATAAACAGCTAGGAACAAACCGTTACCTTGAGTGAAAGGTGCTTCTCGACTTGGTCTGTTGTTTGTAAGAGGTGGAAGGGCGTCTCTAGGGCTGCTGCGCATGGTTCCTGTAGATGTTCTTCGGGTAGATTCCATGTCTATCGCTGCAACCTTTTCGATGAGTTGTGCAGCGTGCGTTCGGACACGATTAATGTAGCTCTCCTGGTAGAATATCGTTGGGTCCTGCCCCGGTTGGCTGGGTCGTTCATCAGGCAGCCGAAGGTGCCTGACAAACTCGCGATAGGGTACTTTAGCGCCCTCATCCAGCAGTTGAAGATCAAACTCGGTCAAAAGTGAGCGAGCTTGTTGTTCGTCCAGCCCGAAGTTGGGAGCTTGCAGTGCTTGGATCAACTGCTTCGAGGTGATGACCCCAGCTCCTCCAGGGTCGCGCGACTTGAGCGCCGCCAGCAGCACCGATTTCTTGGACCCAAATCCGATGGGACTGGTGTACCAGTGCTCGTTTTTGTAGGATTTCGATGCAGTTTCGTGTGCGTCAATCGAGTCCCCGAGCACGAGCTGCAGGAAAACACAACGAAAACACAACAAATAACCAGCAATAGACTTAATCACCGCCAATTGCACACTAGTCCGACTCAACGCCGTGCAAATTACCTTTGCTTGCTCGTGTTCAGCTAGCTGAGCGTCTCGTGGCGACAGCTTGCGCTTGGTCCTGCATTGTCCTGCGTGGGTGGCCGTTTTTCCGGTCGACGAGGAGATCAGAGGCAGCTTGAACTTCTCGTGCCGCGTCGGCTTGAGCTTCACCGCGCGGGGGCGCTGGTCCATTGTATCGTTATCACATGTCGAGCGTCTGGGCGCTTTTGCGTCTTGAGTTGCCGCTTGCTTGGTGCCTCTGGGGCCCGGCAGATGGTGTGCTCCTGCGCGGGCCTCACAGTGGTGGGTGAGCACAGGCAGGTTCGTGCTGCCCATGACAGCTCGTCGCTGTCGCCCCATGGTCTGCCCCACAAACCGGCGCAAGCTGGTCTCGGCAGGTGCCACCTCCACGTGAAATTCCAGACCCGACGCGCCTTCCGACGTCTGACGCGGCTGGGTTTAACGCGATACGCGTGGCGCCACGCAGACGCCGCCTGGAATTTCGCGCTTCGCAACCGACTGCAATATGCTCCGCCCGATGCGGCCGCGAGTCAAGCTGGGGCTGCGACCACATGTTGAACCTGTTCCTGAGGAAGGTCGGAAGAGCTTATCGCATGGATGGCTACATTGGGATGGGCGCAAGATGTGGAGGACGCAATAGAAACAGATTTAGCCCTCAGCGAGTTAGCGGAGACTTGCTACTAGTTAGTATTGCCGCTTGCAAATACTTTGCCCTCTAAAATAGACCTCTAAAATAGACCACGCCTGTCTCTTAATATGAGTGGACACGAGATAGGCGAGGGATGATTTAGCTTTATGCTTTGGTGGGGGCCGCTTTTAGGCCCAGAAACTCGGTTTGGCCCGTCTAGAATGGCATTTCTGCGTTTCCAAGTCGTAGCAAAGCGTGAAACAGACCCCAACCTTGCATCTTAGACCTGTACTGGCGAGATATATAAATCAGACCTAGGTCTCAATTAAGAGCTTGCTAAACTAAAATCGAGATTATTAACGAGATAATAAGCATGCGTTGGCCAAAATATCTGCAAACGGCAATACCACTGGTCTGACTAGCTAAGAGTTCAGCACCGACATGGCTACAAAGTGCAAGCCGGCACCGTTACATGCATGTATACCAGCGAGGACTTGCACACGCACACGCTGACGCTGGCGCGGGTGTTCTCAGGCAGCGACAATGGTTGAAGCGGATTGCTCCTGGTGCGCGTCGGTCGGCGTCGACTGTCCGCGCTCTGGCCGGTGTTCAACTCGACGCAAATCTGGTGGTTGCAGCTCGCAGAGCAGCGCGAACCGCGGCATCTCGGCTCTGCACCGAGGTGACAGATCCGGGTCTGTAGGAGACGCCCGCGCTGGTCCACTCTGTGTGGGTCTCTGCGCGCTTGGCCCCTCCCCGCGCCTCCGTCTCTCTTCTAGCGCGGTCGGCGCGAGCTTGCTTGCCGGGGTACGGTATCCTCGCGAACCGCCGAGATGATGAGGGCCTTCCCAACGGGGGAAAATACTGCGGCGCCGTCTCGTTACTCGCGCCCACGTGCGTCTGTATAGGGCCGCTCTTCCTCCGTGACATCGGCTTTCCCAGCTGGACGGCAATTTGGCCGCAAAGGGCCAAACAAGCGCTGTTTTGAGAGACTAGGACGCGATAATAATGCAGTAACGACGGCGACACCCAGCCAGGGCTGCCGTCTCACCCACAGGTTGCAGACGGTGGCCGCGAACCGGCCCAGCCGCGCTCGTCGAGGGGCGTGGCAGCTCGGGCGGCACAATTTTCCCGAGTCCTGTGTCGCAGGACCAGGACCAGAAGCAGCAACCCCCGCCACGGCGCGACGGCCGGCAGACGAGAAGTCCACAGTACAGAGTGCAGCAAAACACTTTGCCGTTTGTATGGCTCACTCACACCCAGCGGCGCTGGCCTCCGAATTTGCGCTAAAAGCCCCCAAGCGGAGACTTCAGAATTGAGCCGCAGGCCGCTGATTGGCTCGCTCCGCACTCACTCGCGCTCAGTATGCTGGCGCGTGCAGCGCCGGGGCGCGAGAGAGCAGCAAGCGATTGGGCGAGCCAGTCGGCGAACTGACTTCTACCTGGGCGGAGCGGCATCCGACGACCGCACCACTTTGGCAGAGACCGCGAAGCGCACAAGAAGCGAGGGAACGCTCAGCGAATCGCTTGCTCGGCTTGTCGAGAGAAACCGCTTCGAGGGCTTGTGGCGGCAACAGCAGCAGGCACCAGAGCGCCAGAGCAGCAGCAGATCTGACGCGACTTGCCAACGCTCCACCTCCTCCTCCGCAGCAGCAGCATCAGACGAATGAATCACCGCACCCCCTCGTCGGGGCCTTCGCGCCGCGGCGGCGGCCTCAGCCGCAACGGACTGAGCATCCCGGGACTTAACGTGGACATCGAGATGCTCGTGCAGAGCACGCAGGGCTCGGCCATGCACTTCGGCCGCAAGACAGCGGGCGAGAAGTTCCACGGCTGGCTCTGGAAGAAGTCCGGCCGCTTCTCTAAGTGGCGCAATCAGCACTTCGTGCTGGACGGCGCGCTGCTGACCTACTACGATACGTTCCCCACGGATCAGTTCGTCTCCGAGTCGTCGCTCATGCCGATCGCGGGCGACAACCTGTTCACGACCAAGAGCGAGTCCACCCCCGCCGGCGCAGTGCGGGTAGCGCACGTGGAGACGTCGCAGAAGTCCAAGATTGCCTTCAAAGTGTACGCCGTGAGCGGCAAGATCATCGATGTTCGCGCCAAGAACGAGACGCTGTGCAGGCAGTGGGTGGACCGACTGAACGAGGCGGCTGCGCTCGCCAAGCGACAGGAGTCTCTCAACACCAGCACTACTAGCACGGCGTCATCGACGCTGTCAGCAGGTTACTCGGATTCGGAGCTGGACTTGCAGTGCAATATCGTGGACAAGAGTGGCTGGCTCGAGGTGGGCGACCGCAAGTCAAAGCGAGCAAGGTTCTGCGTCATGCAGGGCAACATGTTTACGGTGTACGACACGGAGGACGCATGGGCGGTTCCGCTCAGCCGAGCGTACGTGACCCACGCCGAGAAAATCAGCGAGGCCACCTGCGAGTTCTCCGTGTCCACGTGTGCTGGAAAAATCACTAAGACGCTTATGGTCAAGGCGAAATCGCATGACGAGATGCACCTGTGGATGGAGGCGCTGAGCAATGCGTTCGAGTAGGGTCGCAGCGTCGCAGCTTCCGAGTGCATCGCCATTTTGATTTCATTCCCCACTCCCCACCGCGATCAAGCGACCCGCGGTACCTAGCGTAGTAGATGTGACGGCCCACGCCGAGCGCCATGTTCTCCGGTTCAAGCCAAGCACCAGCTCGACTTTTATCATCGCTGCCACCCCCAACTTCCAGCGCGTGTGTTCAAATTGGCGCGAGGGGCGGCGAGCGTGTGCGGCGTATTTAAGTTATTCACCGGCCCGACTGAGACCGGCAAGTTAGTAGTAAGCGTTTTGTCGAGACCACGTAGTCCACGTGCAGCCGATTGGAAGTTGCATACAGTTAATCAAGCAAACACGCGATCTTCATCCGTTAAAAGACTGCGTTAGATGCAAAGGCTTTCTCGCCGAAGCGGAGTGATAGAGGCTCATTCACGACATCACCATTTGGCGTCGTCAATGAAGCCTCAAGTGAACAACTCGTGAGATTCGACGCGTTGCACTAAAGAGCGTTACATTGCATTGCCAAACCGTAGGTATCTAAGCGCTCCACAGCCTCCTTTGCCAGTGCAGACCGGTCATTCCGAACTTACGTAGCGTAGCGCCTCAGTCAAAGGATGGAGTGTAGTGCTAACCACAGTTTTCAATCACGCAACCGACTGCTCCGCACTTATATTTCGTGCTCTCGCGGCAGCGAACCCACGAATCCCCCCACGAAGTACATGTAACGCGCACTAACAACGGCACAGCAGGGCACGTCGCCACGATGCTCAGATTGACGGTGTTTCTTGGAGTCAGACTTTCGCCAGGAAGACCGCAATCTCGAAGTGCACTTCAACTCGTTGCTGTTCAAAGACACCGGCACCTTCTCAACTCCTAAAGGCTCGGTAAGTTAATAAGATTCATTACACATACCTGGAAACGCATCCAGGTTCACCGCTACTAATAGCGGTTTTTGAAACACGATCGCACCTCCATCTGCGCCTCGTAAGAAGCTTAGTCATCGTCATGACCCCGCATAAGGTCCTGCAGTCCGCGGCGATTGAGTCGCTGGTGTTGCTGCATGAGCACCAGCCGGTGCTTATCGCTGACGACATCCGTGGAGTTCTGGTCAAGCAGCTCCTGACGCACCTCATGCTGCAGCGCGTAGAGAATTTCCGTCATCTTCGGTCGCCGCTTGGGGTCATCGTCCAGGCAGCGCGTGATAAGCTCGCGACGGCAGGGTGAGCAGGACGGAGGAATGGTTGGCCGCAAGTCCCCACGTGACACGCCCATCATGATGTCGATCGTCGTGTAGTCTTTAGGGAGGTCATGGTAGGGCTCACGCCGAGTTTCAAGCTCCACGAGGATGACGCCAAAGCTGTAGCAGTCCACCTGCGTGTCGTACCGTTCCTCGCGTAAAATCTCGGGCGCCAACCAGTACGGCGTGCCTACGATCGTACTAAACAGCTTGCCCGGCAGCAACTGTCGCTTGGACTCGCCGAAATCAGATACTTTGCACGAATACGTGCGTGTGCACAACAAGTTGGAAGACTTGAGATCGCGATGCACCAACGGAGGATCACAGTTGTGCAAATAGGAGACGCCCTGAGCCACATCTGTGGCTATCTTCAGCAGCGGGTCACTCCAGGTCAGCGCGATGGGGCTACTACGCAGCAGCGTTAGGACGTCGCCACGCTCCAGATACTCCATCACGAGGCCTACGTTCGATAGGTTGTCGAAGGTGGCGCCAATAAACAGCACAATGTTAGGATGGCGTAAGCATGCCAGCAACTCCACCTTGCTCTTGAATGCTGCAAGACCCTCGGCTGTTAAGCACGACTGTGCCAACCGCTTCACCACGACATCCGTCTGATGGTACTCACCCACCAATACTTCTCCGTTTGGTGTCTTGGCCAAAATCTCCTTCAACTTTAGGTCTGCAAACGGGATGGACACCGTCATGAACAGCTCCATATCGCCTGTCGCGCTCAGGGCTCGCTCCAACGCCTCCTTTTCATCGCGGGTCATCGTATTACGGTTCTCCAGTCCAATCTGCTTCACGGACAAATCCAGCTTCAGCGTTGTGTTAATGCGCTCGGCACGCACTTTAGAGGCATACGCCATTCGAGCAGCACGATCCTCCGAGTACGTGGCTGTGAGCGCGAAGCATGTGGGTAGGAACACACACAAGAAGAACAGGAACGCCTCGTTACTCATCACGCGCCTGCTGGATGAAATCAGTGGCGTCGCTCCCAAGAAACACAACATCAGCGTCGTGATCCACTCCGCCACCGACAAGAGCAGCACGTGCGTAAAGTCCAACTTCATCGCCACCGCCACAATACCAGCAAACGCGGCCAGTATAGCAAGCACACCCATAAGCAACGAGTACGCTAGCTTGCTATCGTATAGCTGCAACCACGATAACAACATCATTTCCCCGCCCGCTCCCGATATCTTGCCCCACTCCGACGTATCATACCACGATGTCGGCATCACCGTATCGTACGCGCAGACCATCCCGTTCCCCAGACTCTGCTGCAAGTTCTTCCTCATGCCCACTAGCTCGTGATGTACAAACACCGCCAGCCCTACTGACCAGCACAACACAATTAACGAGGCAATCACCTTCCAATGCCGTCGGATGTAGTACACTCCAATCCTCAATCTCATACTTCCTTCAAAGTATTTCAGTGGCAGCATGCCATAAATCACAGCAAAGGGCGCAAAGCTCCACAGTAGCCACGTGAGTCCTTCGTCCTTGGACATGGGTTCAATGAACGAGACGCAGCTCGTGTCGGAGACGTTGGAACCTCCCGAAGGTTCCTCCTCTAACAACTGCGAGAGCAGATCCACCCACTCGTAGTCGTTTCCCGAAGGTGCAATGCACGTGTCCTTGAACCTTCGGAACAGGAAATAAGCCGCGCCTTCGAAGGCCACGAGAGCCAGCATGAGTCGCCGCGCCACGGGGAAGTCCACCGTGGAGGAGTAGAGCTGGTACGACTCCTCCATCCTCTCGTCCCGGAAGTGGTTGCTCAGCAGCTTCAGGTCCACGCGCGGGTCCATGTGAGCTTGCCACGTGGCTGACCCCTGAGCCGAGAGCAGTTGCACCCCACTGGGCGTGCGCGAGGCCTGCTGCGAGGCTTCTCCATCCCTGGAAGACGCGGAAGAACTGTGCGACGAAGACTCGGACGAGCTCGACGAAGAGCGGAGGCGCGTGTGCGTGTTCTGAGTGTCGGACCGCCCGTCCGGGGTTGTCACTTGGCTGTAGGCGCTGCTGCCGCTGTCCTGGTCCAAGTCCGAGCCCTCCAGCACGTCCAGACGCCGCTCCATGTGCGACGTCTTCATTACAATATTGAGCTCGAAAACAATGTGATTAATTTTGTGGCCTAGTGAGCAAAATTTAGTGTCGGACCAAAAAATACTCTCTCCCAAAAACCACTTGGAGAATGTAACGGCGGCTACTCGCATCAATCCAAGCTTTGGGCGTCGAGGGGCTACGTACGCTACGCATCTACCTGCAGGCGCGCCACCGCTCCAGCTCGACACACAGCCATGAACCACACGCGCCCGATCCCCATAGGAGGAAGCGGCAGCCAGCGCGGCTCCCCCGTGACGCGCAGCCCCAACGGCGCCGCGCTCGTGGCGCACTCGCTGCCCGCGGACATGCACCACGTGCACCTGTCGCGCTTCATGACGAGCTCCAGCGGCGCCAGATCCGGCGGGCTGCAGCCGCCCAGAGCGCCGCAGGTGGGCTCCATGCCCGAGCCGAGCTTCCTGGAGCTGGACGGCATGCCCGACCTGGCGCTGGGCCCGCCGGCAGAGACCATCCGCGAAGACTCACCGCCTCGAGCCCCGGCCGTGATCCAGGTACACTTTTTTCAGTGGGGTTCAATGGGTTTGGTGCTGTGTTTTAATGAGTTTTGCATTGGTTTGTATTGATGCTGTTGCAGTTTGCTAGCTCGTGCCCGGGGGATATTGGCTTCTTGAGGAGCAACCCTGCTAGGGGCTCGTGGACGCCGTCGCTGCACCCGTACCCGGACGAGCACGACGACTTCGATCTGTCCAAGAGTCCGGCGCTGGCAGCTATGTCGGCGCTGAGAGAGAGGATGCCGCCCGGCGGGTTCGGAGGGGAGTCGTCAACTACACAGCAAGCGGGCAACGGCTCGTCGCACAGGTCTTTTAGCGCGCGCGCGGCAGGAACACAGCCCTCAAGGCATTACTACGCCTCGGACGAATCGTCGAGCTACGCAGTGAGTGCGGAGCTGCTGGAGAGGCTGAGTATCACGTCGGAGGAGGAAGGAGAGGGCGCAGAGGACCGCGAGCAGCGCTATCGGATGCCAGGATACAACTCGCAGATGCCAGCAGATCAGAGACGGCGGGCCGAGCGGCGCGGCTCGTATGGCAATGTGTCGGATACCGGCGACACGGGCATCTTTGAATTCGACGACCAATAGACTCGGCAGGCAATGCGATGATTAAGCAGCAAAAAATGACAGACAAGCGAAAGACAGGTGCCAGCGCTCAAGTCACAGGTGGCTTATGTACGCGATGACAGGACGGACAGAGGAAGGAAGCCGCTGGACTTCCCAAGAAGCAAGATACGGCAAAGCTACCCAGACGCAACAGGATGACGGCAAGAAGAGCGTCAAACTGCTCCATCGCCCACATATATTTGTAAGGAACTGCGTGGCCAGCAACTCATGGCAATGGTCGAAACGCGCCACCAACTAGCAAGCTTGAGAGCGCCGCCGCTCCTCAAGCTTGTTCATGTAGACGCAGCTTAGCGTACCACGATCGCTATACACTCAATGCACGCATCGTTTCTTTGAACTCGAGCAGCGCTCCTCCCTGCTCGACCAGCGAAAAACCGTTATCGAGGTCAGCGTCTCCGTTTGACTCACTTGGCAAAATCCACCGCCGCGAAAGCAACGCAGCGCTTCTCATTCTCTTGGGGTGGATAGTACGCCGGAATCAATGCGGGTCGGCAACTTGTGGCCTGCATGCGTCGTTGCTTGCAAGGACAACAGAGCAACGGAATACAGTACAGTACACGTATTATACATGCAGCGGATCCCTTCGTTGCTGCCAACCGGCTAGTGGCGGTCTCCACCGCCTCGTCTGGCTCAGGCAGGCAATCAGCCTGACACCAGCAGCACTGGGCGTCTCCTGCGAACACTGTAAAACACCGAGTGTATTGGACGCCCGCCATGTGCAGTGGATTTTGTCCATGTCTCGCATTGAAGACGTCGGGGTGTGGCCCACACCAGTCCACACAAAAAGAACCCTTCAAGGTGAGGCGGGGCGACGCCGTAGTTTCAACCGCTCTTGCCCCCCAGCAGGAGGGCCGACACGTTCTTCCGTCTGCGTGTCAACGTGTCGTCTGGTCGGGCTCAAAATGCACCCAGCTGCGGTAGCGGGGCGGGCAATCATCGCGCAGTCAATACGTGTGCAGGTAATATAATACATGTAGTCAGCTCGCATCACTCAGTTCCTAATTCACCGACGGACTAAAATCACGATTCCGCCAGCACTTCCGACCATGCTGCTAGTCGACACGAAGCGCGAGCTGCCACTAATACACGCCACGCCGGTCGTGCAGCTCGCCAAGTCCTGCCCAACACAGCAACCACCGCCACCATCACAACAACAAGAAGAAGAAGATGAAGATGATGCTGCAGCAATCCCCGTCGCCGCCGAGCGCTGGGGGCAGCTCTGCGCCCGCATGGGCCAATTGACGCGCGGCATGAAGCGCTGCAGACGCCGCAGCGCCGACGGAGAGACGGACTTACTGTGCGGGGCCTCCATGCTGCACAAGGACTTCTGGCTGGAGGCGCTGGACGAGCAGCACCGCTACGGCTTCAACCTGCGCGCGTTCCACAAGGCCTGGAAGCACGAGATGGCCGAGGAATCTCGCAACAACAACAGCAGTGAAGACGCGTCGTTCTTCCACTGGCTCGACCACGGCAACGGCAGCAAACTGGAGCTGCCGGAGTGCAGTCAGCAGGCACTGCGGTCGACTCACGTGGAGTACTGTACGGCGGAACAACGCAAGAAGTATGAGCTCGAGTTTGTATCCAATGGAGACGACGGAGATGTGAGGGTTCAATACGCGGCATCGGGACGCGTGGTGCTCACCGACGAGCGCAGCAAGTGGATCTTCGTCGTGGACCTGGTGGGGCGCATGTACCTCGGACGCAAGCGCAAGGGCCGCTTCCACCACTCGAGCTTCGTGTCGGGGGCGCCCATCTTGGCAGCAGGCAAGATCATCATCAAGAACGGCGTCATACTCGCCATTGAGCCGCACAGTGGCCACTTCAAGCCGCGACTAGAGAACCTCCTGTCGCTCTGCTCCATACTGGCTAAGCACGGCGTGGATATCGACGATATTGCCTTCATCAAGCCCAAGAAGTGGACCTGCGAGTGGCCCTTCCCGCCGCAGCTAGACCTCGAGCTCGAGGACTTTGCTGGCGCATCCGATACGGACTATGGCGCGGACAAATCGGACTCGGAGGGGCCACGGACGCGTAGGGTAGAAAGGAAATAGCTGTTCTAGGATGTAGCGTTGGTATTTATCGCGGATCAGGCGTCTCGAATAAATGTCCTCCTTCGAAGTATTAACCAGGTTGAGTGCAGTCTTCTACCGCCGCTTGTACTCGCACGCCTTGAACTCGATCGGACCCACCTTCTGTGGCTTGCGGGACGACTTGACAAACTCGAACAGCACGAACATCTTGTTGCGCTCGTCCTTATGCTTGCAGTCGAAGCCCATCTTACGCAGCGTCTGCACGAACCCCTCGATGCCGCCCAGCGACTCGCTCTCAAAGCGACTCTTGACCTCCGCGACCTTCAACACACCGCCGGGCTTCAGCACGCGGTACACCTCGCGCACATACTCGCGAACACTCGTCCCCATAAGCGCCAGGCAATACACGGCGATATCGACTCGGCTGTCCTTCAACGGGACCTGATCCACATCCAGCAACCACGTATCAGCCACAGCATTCCTCAACACAACACTATCAACATCAACTCACATCAGCAATATTACAGGCAGTAACGTGCGACTTGCGGGACACCAGATCGAACGAGTGCACCTTGTTCGACACGCTCTCCGCCAGTCTGGCGTCTCCGCAGCCGAAATCCGCCACCACCGCCTTCGGATGACGTCTACAACCAGAAAAAACCATAAAAATTTACGTTAAAAATGAACTGCAATACCATCACCATTGGGTTGTTGAGGCCACGCACTTGACGTAGTCGATGAAGGTGTCGAGCGGGTTGGTGGGCCACTTGTCCGCCATCTCCCGGAAGCCCTGGTGGTACACGTCGAAGAGCTCCGGGTCGCTCTGGAACGTGGAGAAGGCGGAGTCGCCCGTGGTTGTGTACAGCTGCTCGTTGAGCATGCGGAACTTGCCGCCGTCAATCTTGCGGCGCATCTCGGCCAGGCGCTCGGCGGGGGTCAAAGGCTTCGACTTGGTCTTGGACTTGGCTTTGCCCTGATTCTGCTGCGACTTCGGCACGGCCGCGACCTGCTGCGCCTTGTGCTTCTGGTTCACCTTCTTGCTGCCGCCGGCCGAGGCTGGCTTGCCCTTGGTGCCGCCCTTAGCGCCGCCCTTGCGACCCTTCTTGCCCATGGTCTCCGATAGCTGCTGGACGAGAGGAATGGCAACAATGAAAATCTCGCTCTGACCAATCAAAGTGGAGAATTACTTTGACCAATGGAAGCGCGCTAAGAAGTTGGTGTGGAGGTGTGTGCAAGTTGAAGTGAACGGTTTTCAGTCCGATTTGCCTTAATAATGCCTCACGCATGCACACTATGCATTGCACACAATACACGTAGAGGTGACGCAACGGGATCCGGCGAGGCCCTTGTAACGATTTCATTTCGAGTCACACGGAGGAGTCTGTCCCCACGTGTCATTCTCCAATCCGACGCAGCGATATTTGTCCAGGATTTGTTGAGTGGAACACGTGGGCTGAACCATCGGGATCTCGCGATCCAAAAGGGACGCGTGCCTCTGGACGTTGCATTGACAGCTCTGCTTCGCGGTCAAGATCATGATGCCTTCCTCGCTCACAACTCAATTCTTTCCGTCCAGCGCACATCAAGAACGATGAGCGCCAAGTCTGGCATCTCCTTCCTGTTGAACCCGCAGTCCTCCGATGACGCGGTGCTGAAGGTGACGGCACCTGCAAGCCCACCACCTCCGATGTTCCAGTGCTTGATGGCTATGGCTCAAAGCCCCGACGCAGAGGCCACGTCGTCGCTGCTGCTGTTGGGGTCATGCATCGCGCCGCTGGAGAAGATGAATGCTAGCAAGAAGACGGTGGTGCCGGCATTGTCGCTGGCTGCTCTGTGCGAGGCCAGCAGTGGTAGCAGTTACAGCAGCAGCAGCGCTTCCTCCGGCGGCAGCGACGACGACGACGAAGATGCAGAAGAGCTGCCAGCACTGGAGACGGTGACTGTGAAGGCAACTACCCCAGCTGCCAAGCCAAAGCCCAAAGCGAAGCCGACCCGGAAGCGCATCCGGAAGAACTGCACGCCACCCTGCAAGGTGGAAGGATGCACCAACATCATTGTGTCCAGAGGTTGCTGCGTGCGTCACGGCGGTGGTTCGCGCTGCACGATCGAGGGGTGTCCAAACCGAGCCAAACTGTATAAGCGCTGCTTCCAGCACGGTGGCTTCAAGACGTGCGCGACCGAGGGCTGCACGCGCAAGTCCAAGCGCTACGGCCACTGCTGGTCGCACGGTGGGGGCCGCATCTGTGTCATCCCTGGTTGCGACAAGGTATCGACCCAAGGCGGACTCTGTTGGGCTCACGGCGGCGGAAACCGATGCAAGTTGGACGGATGCAGTCGCCGATCGTACCAAAAGTACGGCTACTACTGCGTCGACCACGCGGCCTTGAGCAAGGGCGAGGAGGCTTAATTGAACCCCGCCACTTGCGGATTAGTTGTTGGTGTCGCTCCTGTCGGTACAAGTAGTAGGTATCTTGTCATCATGCCAGTTAATGTAATAAAATGTTTCCAATAAAAACTATGAGCACTGCAAATATAGAGCTTGAACCTGTTCGGTAGCAATTGTACTTCTCCACACGGCAATTATTTTTGCTTGAGCTCCGAGCTATCTGGTGGCTTGCTCAACTCGCCAAGATGATGATCCTAGATAGCGTTTCGGAGAAGTTGCGCTCGAAGCATGTGCGCACACTAGAGCTGCTGCAAAAGACACTCGATGAGAACGTCGAGTTACGGGAACGCGTGGCAAAACTTCATAAGGTAAAACACAGTTGGCTGCGAGGCCTGCCAACCTCATCGATGTCGGCTAACAGAGTTAACCTGAATCGCATAGGGCACACTCCATCTCGGCCAGGGGTTACCACGCTCGAATTTGTCATCCGAGTTGGAGGACGAAATCGAGCGACTCAAAGATGAGCACACGCGCAAGTTACAGGAGGTCGAGGAAGCTGCGAGTGCAAAACTGGCCGAGCAGGTTCAAGCCGCGGAGTCACTCGTGGCTGCCAACAACAAGCTGAAGAATGATATGATCACGATGGATGTTGCGTTACGCGACGCGCGTGACCGACTCAAATACGAGCGGCAAACCTGGAACGGAGAGCGAGCACAGCTAGAAGCGACCATAAGGGAGGCGACCAAGACCCAGCCTCCTGCCAGCCCCACTCGAGTTAAGCGAAATCAACCGCAAACCGAAGCTTTGATCGAGGAGGAGAAATCCAACCAGCGACTGGAAGCGGAGCTTGAATTGAGCCGCCAGGCTTGTTCTAACGCAGATGCTGCGCGTCGATCAGCCGAAGCGCGCCTTGTTGAAGTGAAGAATGACTTCGAGCGCGTATCCAATGAGGCCACAGCTCAACGAGAGCAAATAGTCGCTTTGCAGAGTCAACTTGCAATTGCTCAAGCACAGCAAAAGTCGACGTTTGATGAGCTCAAAGCCGTACGAGAGCGCAATAGAACTCTGGAAGCCAAATCACCAAAAGAGCGTCCATCGTCATCCACGGCATCAGCAAAGCTCCAACTCCAACAAATGACGCTGCTGGCAAAATTGCAGGACACGGAGGAACGCTATGCCAAGCTCGAAGCGGAGCATCGAACGCTTCAGTCCCAGACTGCGAGGCTGCAACAACAACTTGCCAACGAGGTCGCGCAGCGCAGGGCAGATGCCGCCGAGTCTGGGATCTTTGCGATCCACGTCGAGCTCAAACGCGAGAATTTCCAGCTACGAGCGCAGGTTGAAGAGCTCAAGGCACTGCAAAAACGCTTCTTGACTTCTGCAAAGAAGAAAACCATGAGCTTCCCCTCCCTCTGAGACAGCCCGTACATGTAGTATTCGCAAACCAACACGGTCAGCTAAACGTTCACACCAATTCCACGATTGCTCTATTGTCTTCAATCCTCGTAGGTATCGCTTCACAGCATCACTCACCGTTGCTGTGCAGCGGACAATCCTGCTGCAATGTTAAGCCTCCAGCGACCCGTACGTGTGTCCTGCCGGATCAATGCGTCGCCGCGCTTCCGCATCGGCTAGCGGCTGATACTCCGTCATAAATTCACGCCGCACCCGGTCCCGGTCGTTGGCATTCGGCGTCCTCCGGGCGATTTCCGCAGCCTTCATGGCGTTGCGCGTGATCAGCGGCGAACGCGAGAACGTCGACGCCGTGAGAGCCTCTGGAGTACGAATCGGTGTCAACGCCTCCTCCAATGGCTCCAGGTACACGAAGCCCGGCAAACGCAGCGTGCCATTGTACACCGCCGTGCCCACCAGCAACGTGAGCATGCCCGCAAGCTGCAGCCAGCTCCAAATTGTCCAGCGCTCACCGAATTCTCCCTGCGTGAAGAGGTAAAACAGCAGCAAATCCGTTCCCCAGACCGTGATCGGGCGGAAATTGTCCAGAATCGCGTGCCAAATCGAGTTTAGTAGGTACGTGACCGACACGGCGAACACGTTATAGCCCAGAATCACCAAGAGGTAAATGAGCACGACCACCTGAGCCAGGCCGCTGTTCATGAGCATCTGATACGCGTCGTCGAAGCGCTCGTTCGAGCCCAAATCGTTGCCCGGCACCAAGTAGGCGATGGGGTACACGACGAACGTGGTTAACACCAGTCCCCACACTCCTTCCATGCCCACCACCACGAGGGGTGGGGCGCTGTCGCCTTCGTCCATGAGTTTCTCCTCGAAAACGTACTGCACCGCCTGAATGGCACAGCTGAGCACCACCATAAACACGCCGAAGCCCGGGTGCTGATTGGCCGAGTTGTTGTCTTGACTGTCGGCGTCCGCGAGGCTCGTGGCGCCCACCATGAGGGCCGCCAGCATGTTCAACCCAATGCCGATCCACATGTAGCTGCGGAGACGGTCCTTGAGCACGAACACCTTGAGCAGCGCCACGAACACGATGACCGTGCACTTCATGAGCTGGAAGACGCTCACAGTCACGTAGAGCAGCCCCAGATTGGCCACAAAAGTTGCCAACAGGTCGAAGGCCGCCGGCAACGCCAGCAGGAAGTACATTTTGCGGGGAATGCGGTAGCGGTACTTCATGCCGTTGCGGTTGCGGCGCCACTGCCGCTCCACGTGGTAGTGGTAGGCCCAGTGGATGGGCAGCGCGAACACCATGGCCAGGAACATGAGCCAAGTCTGGAAGATGGGCTTCTCGAACTTCTTCACCTCGCCGTCGAGGCCCACCGAGTCCACGCCGTACAAGATCTGCCACGGATAAGTACTTACGGTCAGTTTATGCTAGTGTTAACCGGGTGGCAGGATTACTAAACGCACCTTGCCGGTTCTGGGTTAAGTGAAAAATGGGTTTTCAGTGGCAAAAGAGCAACCAACATGCAACAACGGTTAGAGTAGTGTTTAAGGCAACAAGGTTCTTCAAAGACGTACAGGGTGGTGCCCGTGCCCGTGATGAGCCCCATGCCGAAGACCAGCGCCTCCCTCGTGCCGCACGACATGGCTGCTGCAATGGAGAGAGTCTCTTAACGCCACTCGGCTTGCGTCTCGCGCGGTCAGATCGATTGTGAGGTTCTTTGCAGGCAAGAAAAAAGAAAGATGAAAGATACCTTCAGAAGATCCCTTCGCTCGGCCAATCAGCGCGCGTTTCGGGTGGTCTCCGATGTGGATTGGTCGAAATGGGAGGTGTCGATCCGACAAAAGTTGGCACGACCATACAAAACGCAAATGAAAGCTAGAATCAGGTGCAGCAAAACCGCCAACTACTGTCGCTGATCAAAATGTGACGTGCGTGGAGGGATCAGCAAGTACGTCGCCGAACGGATGGATGACTGGACAGGGAGCTGGGGCCCGTCACGGGACCCCAGCTCCCTACGGGACTCCCATGCACCGGCACGAGTTGCAATGCCACTCCCCCAATTGCAGCCCAAGGCTACGGCTACGGACATCCGTCTCTATTGGTTTGGTTGGTTCTGATTTGCGCTGCATGTTGAAGTTGCATTTTCCTTCAACCAGTCTCCTCTGTCGGTTCTAAAGGTTTGGCTGGCCTCTCGGTGAGCCCTCGCAGCATGGTCGCGTAGATTTGCCCCGATGCATCCCCCGATAGCGTCTTCCAGAGCTCGGTCACAGTGGTTTCTGACACTTGCTGCTCGCAGCTTTCTTGGCTCGAAGACTGCTCTGGCTCGGCTTGGACGCGAGCTCGGGCTTGGGCTTGAAGCGTAGCGACGAACTTCTTGCGTTCTGCTTGGTATTTGAATCGAGCGAGCGACGCGGTCTCTTTAGCCACGCAGCAGCGCTCGAGCACCGCAGTTTCCAGCGCTGTTAACCGCTGGGCGGTGTCTTCGTCGGTGAAGATTGGGGTGCTGGTGGTATTGGTGTCGGTATTCGCTTCAGTGTCTGCGTCATTGTCCGCCACGAGGGACGAGCTCGACGCTCGACTGGACGACCGCGACGTTCTGGTGGAGCGAGATGAAACACCGGAATGACTCCGGCTGCTTCTACTTGAGGACAAGTTACTGTCGGTCTTCGAGGCCACCCCAGACCAGTCCAGTTTGTGGAAGACCACCTTGTACGGCTTCCGCTTGAGAAAATTCTTCGGAGGTGACCTGGGTGAGTCTGCTTTCGTTTCAACGATGGATTCCTCCTTTGGCGGAGAAGTCGAGGCGGGTTTACGCTGCTTGGGCGGGAAAAAGCGTCGAGCTGTTTTAGCCAGTCGAGTGGCTTTAGGCAAGGCAATTGAGCGCGGACTGTCGCCAGCTTCTGATGAGGTCAGAGAGGATGGCGAGGAGGGTGGCGACAAAGCCTCAGCACGGGAAATCCTTCCAATCGGATCAGACAGTGAGTTCTTCAACGACGGCACAGGAGGCTTCGGCTTCTCTGAATCGTTCGCAGCTTGATATGTAGATTGCAGCGCACGCCGTCGCTGGGATAGTTTGCTATTGGCTGACTTTCGCTGAGCCGCTGCAGTGATTGGAGCCTTCTTCACTCGTCTGCTAGAGGGCTCTTGCAGTTGTTGTGGTGTAGCGTTTTCCTCGTCTGGATCGTTCTGATTTGTTATATTCACGTACGGAACCATCGTGAAAGCATCGTTGCTTGCCTGCCTCATCAGATAACATACGCTAACCCGAAGATCACCCCGAACTGTATGTCCCGGATACGCTCTTTCCAGCGGAAACCATCGACGCAATGCGTATTCGGTCGCTAGTGGTGGCTCTAGCAACGACAGCGGGATTCCAACGATGCCCAAAGTGTTTGCAGCCCCTCCACTTGCTTTTACGATCACAGTCGCGCTCAACTCTTCGATAACACACTGAGGTGAGGCAATTCCATACTTCATCCCATTGTCCAGGTCTATGGGGAACCGAAGGAAACAGTCCTGCAACTGGATATCCGCACTGCTATCGTGGAAACTTGACACGAATTGCTTTGTCGGCAAAACACGTGCGAGTACTTTCGACTGCCGCTTGAGCAGCAACTCCACCTCAATATATTTTCCATCGAAAGCTCCTCCAGACCCGAAACCAAGAGCTAGATCACGAGCAGAAAGCAATTCGACCACTATTTCATACGGAGGTAGAGCAGCAGTTCGAGGCGGGTCGACCGGAGACACGTGAACATCAACGGGAGCAATGAAAACCGGGTTCGCAGGAGGCGCCACAGGCTTCTCGATCTCTAAAGCAATCAGTATCGATGTGGAGGGCAGCTCTACCTCGCCTTCAGTTGCTGCATTCTCTCGCAGTTTTGAGCACCGTCGAACGAAGCTCTGGATCACGCAAGCTGACCTGTGTCGCTGAGCTCTAGTTTTCTCTCTGTCGACAGCCAAACGCTTCTGCTCAACAGCAAAATCTCGAAGTGCGGTATTCTCGTGAACGTCAAGCAGCTCGTTCTCTTCGTGAGCTTCCACTTGTCTTCGTCCAGATTCGATGTCAGCACCCACTGTCACCAGAAAGTGTCGAAGATGAACTCGAAGCAGCTTCTGCTGCGTGGCCGTGGTGCGTCCAGCATGCCGACAATCAAACTCCCGCCGTCTCCGCGACTTGAACGCTTCGTACGCCTCGCTCTTAGCCATGGCCTCCGCTCGCAGCGACCATGCTACGACCTTTCATGGAACATGGCTACACTCCAGCCGTTACGCTCACTTCAACTTCCTGTGCAAGTCTCCATGGAGCTCGAGCACCACTAAGCATCATACACAAGCTAGATCTCCCCCAGCTCTTCATCTAGCAGTCCTACCTCCTAGCAACTCCGCCTCCGTTAGCGTATCATTATCTTGGGCTTCCAAAGTCTCACCACCAGGTGTATCGCAAAGTTCGCGCCAAAGTCGCGTTCTACACACAAAATCTGCTTGTTGTACCATGCACCAGCCGCGCCGTCATGGGGCCGACGACGTCGCCTTCTCGGCCTACAGCGCCGACAGCGAGGACTACTACGCGTTTCTACCGAGCGACGAGTCCATGAGCGACGTCGAGGAAGCCCCGGTATCGCCCAAACGCGATTCAAATTGTGACCCGGTGGACGAATTGGCGTCGGTCTTCGCGTCCTCGAGCTCCATCGGCTCCAGCTCGAAGGTTCTGACGCCCATCGGTAGCTTAGGAGGCGGTGGCTCAACGCACAAAGAGGCCAAGGCCAATAGAAAGCAGACTAAAGATCCGGCTCCGGGGGTTTTCGACCTCGGAGGCGGCCAGGAGCTCAGGGTCTCACCTCGAGCTCTGGAGCAGCACAACGCGCGCAGAACGCAGCTGCAGGCGGCGCTGGACGCTGCTACGGGCGGTGGGATGAGTGACGCAAACTATGGGGAAGCGCCGTTCCGGTTCGCAACGCAGCACAAGAGAGTGGTCAAGTTTGCGGACGAGATGGACGTGGTGGAAGCCTCGCCGGCTCCGGAGACCGAAAGGGTGGAAGGGCATGCGCCGGAGAAGAAGAACTTTGGCAGGAGACAACCAAGACGAGAGGAACAAGGGGAAGAGGATAGTGATGACAGTGAGAACGAGACGGTTGAGCCGGATCCTCTGTATGACGAGCAGCTGGACGACGCGGACGAGCAGTGGGTGCAGACACACTTTGGTGAGTTTTCAAGGTTGGCAAAGGATGAGTTTGATTGTGGGCTCACTTGTTGGGTTTTGGTGAATTGATGTAGGTGGAGCTCGAGCTGCGAAGTCCAAGACGGATGCTACGTTGTGCTGCCCGTGCTGCTTTGTGACGGTGTGCATGATTTGCGAGCGGTAAGGCTTTTGCTGTCACGTTGTTTCATGCTGTGCGAGGATGGATATGCTCATGGAAACGTGGATGCTGTTGTTGCTCTGTCCGCAGACATGCAACGTACACCAACCAGTACCGAGCCACAGCAGCGATCAACTGCCGCGTCAAGAAAGATGAGATTCTAGCGTACACGTCCAGTGAAGGCAGTCGCGTCCCAGCGTCGCTGCCGTTCCACAAGCGCCAAAACCTGACAGAAGGCAGCAAGGCTACTACTACGACTGGCCAGCAGATCGCTCGACTGCTACAAGAAGATGAGTTTTACCCCGTGGCGTGCTCGGATTGTGGCACGATGGTGGGCGTGTTCGACCGGGAGCAGCAATACCACTTCTTCAACGCCTTACCCAGCAATTGCTAGCAAAGCTTTTCCCGGTGTCAACGATGTGGTGGATGTGGTGGATCACGCTCATCTAGCTAGGGCTGGCTGGCTACAGTGATGTGATGGCCTCACGATAATGCTATATGATTACAAGAGTTCGTTTGCCTCTGAATACTGTGTTCGACCTAGATGTTGCCATGAAGATGGCATTTGGATGCTCATAAGCACCTGTGCTCGCATCGCTTTCGACTTTTGCTTGACCACTGTACATTTCACGCACGCACGATTTCGTGGGCGCTGATTGTTTTACTTCGCACACACAAAAAGCCACTAGTTAGCGAGGATCGCTCTGCCTGCCAGGCTCCCTCGAGGTGCCGTAGGAATCCGCCAGAGTCGCTCGCCTCGCGCTGCTTCGCTGTTGTTATCTGCTTTTTTCGTTGGTTTTCGGGATTTCCCACTGACGAGGTGCTCGCTTCCTCTAGGCAAGAGCAATGCCTACATTCTGGACCTTGTCGTTCAACTCGGACACCAGAGCTTCCAGCTGGAGAGTGGCCTGGGAGCGATCACGCACCTGGCGAACAGCGGCTGCCAGCTTCGCCTGAAGCTCACGCAACTCCTCAAGAGCTGACGCTGGCGTAACCGCAGTACTTGACGCCGCCATTATCTTGCGTAGCTGCTCGCAGACTTCTTCACTCGTGGGGCGCTCGCCAGGGTCGATCGAGGTCATACGAAGCACCAGATCCATCTCCATAGGGAAGTGCTCACGCGCCTTCTGGGGCACGACGCCGTGGCGCACACCAGTAAGAACCTGAGAACGCTCCATCATCGTACTGAACGGGCAGCACAGCTCCAGCAGGATCACACCCAGCGCGAAGATATCCGACTTGATCGAGTACTTGGCGCTTTTGAGACGGGTAGCAGCGTTCTTCAGCACGTTGCTGCTACTGAAGCGATATCCAAGTTGTTCAGGTGAGGCGTACGTAAACGTACCGAGCGCGGTCGTGTGGTCTCCGTCGCTTAGTCCAAGCTCTTGCAGGCGTTCACGCGGAGACACGGATCCATCGCACGAACCGTCCGAGAAAACAGATTTCGACAAGCCGAAATCGCCGATCTTCGCTACATCTCCGTGAATGAAGATGTTGTCCGGCTTCAGGTCCCGGTGGATCACTCCGTACGAATGCATGTGAGCTACGCCCTGTACCGCACCCAAAAACAATCTAAGCCCCTCCAGGTGCTTCGCCGACGTATTAGACCAGGCTGATCTCTCCTCAAGTGAGGATCGAAGCCAAGCTGTCAAGTTGGAGTGAACTTCTTCGCCATACTGTTGGCGCTCCTGCTGCGGCGTGTTCAACTGGTCCAGGATGTGATGGATCGGCTCGTGGCTGCTAGTCGGGGTCGAAGGAACGGAATTCACAGCCGTGCCACACAGCTCCATTTGGATGTACAAGATAACCTGCGACTTCATGATCACAGGCTCAACAGCTACATCACGCGAGGCAACTTTGCCCTCGGTCTTCAACTCGCTCGGTTGTCCGAACGACGCCTCGTCATCCACACACAAACCAACAGAGTCCTCGCCCTCGTCCTCGAACGTGAAGCCAGGAGTGGAGTACTGATCGTCGTAGTTCAGCGAGTCCGACGAAAATTCCAGCGAAAACGATTGATCAGCAGCCTCCATGCTACTCATTCGCAGCTCATCCTCTTCATCCAGCAGTTCTAGTTGCTGGCGCTGAAGATCTTGAGGGCCACAGTCACTTTCCAACGAAGGTACATCCGAGCCACGCACGCTTTCTGTTGATGAGCTCGTGTGAGGAACGCACGCATCCACTTCTGTCCATGCTGTGTGGTAGCGCACAACGTTGGGATGAGGGGTCATGGAGGCCATAAGGCGCACTTCACGCAACGCCTGGCTTTCTGCGCGCTTGGCATCTAGCTCGGTAGCGCGCGGCAGAACCACCTTCTTGACCGCGTAGTAGCAGCCGTCCACCTTGCTGCGCACCTTGAACACGGAGCCTTGGCCTCCCTCACCGAGAGACCCCACCACTGCAAAATCCTGCTCAAAGCGTGAGTTTGAAGTCATCGAATCTTGAGGAGTCAAGGAGGCGGTGGGTTTCGTCTCCACCGGCGTAGTATCAATTGGAGCCAATCCCGCTGCTGCCGCCTTGGTCGACATGCCAGCAGGCATCGACACTGTCCGCTTGAAGGAAGCATTCTGCTGCACCTGCCCCTCTCGCTGGTGTTCGTCCGTCGTCACTTGCGCCAGCGCTGGCGCGTCCAGTTTCAGTGACTGCAAGAACGCCTCGCGCTTCTTCTGCTCGTCCTGCTGCTGCTTTTGCAGCTTCGACTCGTTCTCGTCTCGCTGCTTGAAGAATGGCGGCAGGCGGCTGGTCTGCGAGCCGAGCCACTCCGTCATCCGCTTCTGCGGCGTAAAGAACGCCGACGGGTAGAACGACGACATGGACGACAGCGTCGCGCTGCTCTGCGTGCGGATCGGCACGCGGCGCACGGGCACTGGGGGCGACGACGGCATCGGAGGAGCAGCCGCCTTCCCTCCAACTCCAGCTGCTCCCGACACCGCCGCCGCCATCACATCGTTCTCTTCCGTCCCTGTCTGGAAGTACCCAATGAACGGGTTCGTCTTGTTCACTGAGGTGCCTCGCTTGCTCGGGTGCAGGTCGTCTGCAGTCTGCGCCGCCTCATGGGTCCTGATCCCGCTGCCACTGCGTGCGGCGGCTGCTTTGGCCGCCAGCGCCGCCTGGTCGCTCCCGAGGTCCGCGAACGCGATGGGCGAGGACGCCACGCGCGGCATCGCGGTCATACTGGAGGCCAGAGACGCTGGAGAGCCGACCGCGTCGTCGCCGCTGCTCCAACCAGCGGCGCCGCTTTCGGCGCTCACTGAGGAGCCGGGCGAGGACAGCCGTCCGCCGACCTGCGAGGCCGTGGCCGCGCGCCGCACGCCGGGCAGCCCGTTGACCCCGTTCTTGGCGAGTCCGAAGGCGAAGGCGCTCTGCATGGACAGGATTCCGGGCCTCTTGGCTAGTGGCTGGAGGCCTCTGACTAATTGCCTGTCAACTTATGATGAAGACGCAATCACCCGATCTCGGTCGCGAGTACCGCGCTGTCAACTTTTGCGAGAGAGGGGAAGCGCAGTGCCCTCGAACGGCACACGTCCGGCAGGCCTGTCGTCTGTCTGTCGCCACTCACTCACTCACGCACGCGCGCCTGCTGCCGCCTCCCGTACGCTCGCTCTCCTCGCCTCGCTGTGTGCTATATGTGCGAAGAAGTCGCGCGGGCCCCGCTCCTGCTGCTTCGGGGCGAGCGCGGACAAGCTAGGCTGGGCTGTCTGGGGGGTGACTCACGGCACTCGCTGCTCCTGCCAAATAGCGAAGTGTCGGAGGATGCATGTCGACGGGCCGAACCCTGCAAAAACGCATACATAATGGCTTTTGTTCGGGAGGGTCGACGTCATTTACCCATCTCGGTTTGACGCTTTTCTAAGCCGTGGTGGTGCAACGCCTGATGCGCTTCAAAAGGTGATGCGATGAACCACGGTCTCCGCTGGCCACAGCGGCAATGCAGCTGGCATGCTTTCGGGCTCGAAGTGAGGCTATACGCGTTAGATACATAACTGGAGGCGTGTTCATGAACATCACAGGGGATTGCGCCTTGCTGTGAGCGTCGCAATTGAACTGGACGGCATGCGCCCCCAGGATTTAATGTCCCGTACTCGGCGACTTCAACGCGTTGATTTCCATGTCGGAGCAACGTCGTCATGCCATAATAGTTCATCGTGTTGGACATTATTTGAGCTGATCCATTGCCAAGAAATGTTCCTGCCGTATTTGGCAACAGCAAGCACCGAGTCTTTCCCCGTACGAAAGACAATCTTACCCCACGCAGACGGAGTTCAACGCCTGCAACTTGCAGCTTTTCGGGCGCAACGCCTTCAACTTGCAGATCAAGCTCGGGGTTGGCCAATTCACTAACAGAGACGGCTATCCAGCGTTTCTTTGCTGGCGCAGGAAAGGCCCCACACAGGCCATGCCTGGACGACACGTGGGCTGCGCTGGCCGGGCCAAAACGCCCAGCTGGAGCTTCAAGCCGCGGTGCATGCCCGAGTGTTCAACCAGGTGCGGCAAAGCCTGCCAGGCGCCTCTCGAAAAATTGCTGCGCATCCGCCCCCAAGCAGCACAGCCAGCTTTACCATCGTCCTGGCGCGTGCTGGGCACGCGACTGGTATCAACACAGCAACGAGCCTCGCCACGGCACCGCCGTGGTCTCTGCAAGCACTTAGCGTAGCGTTTCGTGAAACCCTTGCAGGTAGCTTGCTCAAGTATCGACGGCACGGACCCGCCATACAGCGCCACCACAGCCGTGAACTTAGCCGAGTTGTCCTTCGTTGAAGTTGGCGCATGCGACATGTCGGGAGATTGCACTTTGTAATCAGACTGGTGTGTGGGACATAAGTCTGGTGTGCCTCACACCAAAACGATCTAAGTCAGCAATAGCCAGCAACAGCCATGGCGGGACGACACCTCCGCCTCGAGGAGTACGCGTCGTCGGGGCTGGCGGTCGAGTCTGAGGACGTGGGCGATGCCCTCTCGCGCGTGAAGGTCCGCCCCATGCACGGCGGCAGGGGCGGCGCGGGTCGCGGCGCCAGCGAGACGCAGGAGGCCAGCGGCGGCGCTCACCGAGCCGCCGCCTCCCACCGCGAGAACGACCGCTACATGGAGGCCTTCGACGCCGCATTCGAGGAACTTTCAGCGGCAGAGGCGGCGCGCTCGGGGATAACGAGACATGAGCTCGGCGAGGCGTCGCTCAAGCCGGCGGCCGGTTCGTCTGCTGCCAAGACGACGCTGAAGCAGGCGTCACCCGCGACTGATTCAACGCAGGAGCTCGGAGGCGCGTGGCTGCAGGGTCCGAGCGCGCCCGAGGGCGAGCTGCACGCCGTATCAGCGCAGCCGCTCATGTGCATGACCATGAGCGCGGACGAGAGCGAGGTGGTCGTGGGCAGCAGTGACCACGCACTGTATGTGGTTCCGCTGGGCAGCTCTTCCTCGTCTAGAGCTTCCCGCGGAGCTAGCAGCAGCAGCAGTCGACCCAGAACATTGTACACTAAGAAGTACGGCCATACTGAGTGGGTCACGTGCGTTGCCCACTTACCGGATCGACGGGTCGTCAGCGGCGGCATGGACAGCAAGCTCTGTCTGTGGGATGCCACCGGCGTCAAGTGCGAGGACTTGCTCGGACACAGCGGGTCGGTCTCGTGTGTGCTGGCTGTGAGCGACGAGGTGGCTCTGAGTGCAGGGTATGACAAGATGCTGCGGCTGTGGAACGTCAGTCAAAGGGCATCGAGCCGCCAGCGCGAGATCAGCGTCATCAAGGCGGGTACAGCACCGATCCTGGACGTGTCGCTGCTTCCTGGTGGTCAGCAGCAGGCAGCAGTGTGCGGGGATCGCGATGGGGGCGTGCAGTTGATCGACCTGCAGGCGAACAAGGTGCTCCGCAAGCACGCGAACGCACATCGAGGACACACCACCAGCGTGTTGGGCAGTAGAGGTGACGGCACGGATGAGGGCTCGGTATTCTTCTCCGGAGGCCAGGACGGCGCTATAAAGGTGTGGGATACGAGGCAGAAGTCTGCAGCATTCTCGCTTGAGCTTCACGTGGACCCACGCAGCGGCAAGTCTGGTGCAGTGGGCTTTCTTCGTGAGCCGGTGGAGGATGCCAACATACTGATATCAGGCGGTGCTGATGGAGTTATCAATGTCCTAGACAAGAGGCAATCCTACAGCGTCGTGCACAGCTTCACGGAGCACTTGGACTTCATTTATTCGCTCCACGTTCGTAGTCAGCTGTGCTTCAGCGGCGCTGGAAATGGAATGCTGCATGTGCACGACTGGAAGCAAGGCAAGCTGTTGTATGGCCTTGGCGCGAATCAGGCGGCGGTCAGAGCGGTGGCAGCATCGGCAAACCATCTGATTGCGGCTGGAGATGATGGCGGAGTTGTTGTTTATGACATGAACTAGAAGATCGTTAAAGGAGAATATGCGGAGCGTGTTGCCGCCCGGACCCAGCCTCCCTGGCACATGGATGTCAGATCCCCAGACCTTCAGAAGTAAGTAAGTCACTTCTACTCCCGTAGCTCGAGTAACTGACCCACCTCCATCACGTGCATTTGTTGCTTGTATACAAATGTTTGGGAAATGGAACGGTGTCGCTTGCATCGTTACGAAGTGACTTTAAGTTCTGGAATTTTGAAAGTCTTCAGTGATAGTCCAAGACACTATCGAAGCACAAGCCATTATGAAGCTGGACATTTCTCCAAACTGCTTAAATTACTATCCCAACAATTACTGTGGCATCTCTTCGAGTCGCGCAGTCTGCTGTACTATTTTCCTGCGAATACAACATCGGCATTGGCAAGAGCGATCACTGGCCCCACTGCCGTCGTAGTCATGATGGGGTTCGCGGACAACGGAGAGCGCTGCTGGGATTTTGAGTTGCCTGTACGTTCCTGATCGAAAATCCTGACACCAAGCGCATCATGTTCGTCCACTGCGACTTGATATCGGTCATGCCACTCGTACACCAGGAAGTCCTCGCGTAGCTCCGACCAAGTACCATGGCGTCTACACTGAACAAAACGTCGTGCTTCACGCATCTCACACGCGCGCTAGTCCCGGAGGCACTGCCGGATATTTCCTCTACGACGCCTCCATCCTCGGGTTCGTCAGCGAAAACTTCGACAAGATCGTGGAAGGAGTCATGGACGCTATCAACGCAGCGCAGAGCGGAACAAATCCGCTGGAGCAAGTGTAAGGTCCCCAAAGGAGGCAGCAACCGCTCACCAAGTGCGTATCTGGCCAACCCGGCATCCGAGCGAGCCAAGTACACCAGCAACGTCGACACAACGATGCGCGCGCGCTGCTTCCTCAACACGTCGGATAAACTTCGAGGGGTGTTGGCATTCTACCCGGTGCACCCCACCAACCTCACTGCGAAGAGTCGGTTGGTGAGTGGGGACAACAACGGGTACTTAAGCACGCCGAGCTCCTGTTTGAGGACGAGCTCGACGATGCGATTGTCGCCACTGGAATCGCTAACGCCGGTGACATGAGCCCGAACCGAATCGACAACGGACACTGGGACTTGCGTACCGTTGGAAGCGCACCTCATTGCTGAGAGCAAGAACACGTGCGAGTGGAACATCCGGAAAGGCGTCCGCACGAGCGTCGCCGGCACCTACCGCTTCGTGCACCGCGGGTACTCGAAGAGCTTGTTGGGCGCGCTCACGGCGTATACAACCACCCCCAACGCGTTCACGGTGACGGCGTAAAACCGATAACCCCTACGCCAATTTCCTACATGAATCCTGTCTGTTGAATTAAAAACTTGGATGGTTTAGTTTGTTGAGCTGTCTTTTTCTTAAGTACCGTGGTGAAAAGCACCCGCCAACTTAGTTCTTCCGCGACAACTTTTACGTTCACCTCAGGCACAAGACCGTTTGAGTTTGATCATGCAGACTGGAATAGTATTCGCTCCGCCCAGTGATGGTAGTTCGATCTCCAGGGTATGGCACACACTTCTGGCGTGAGGATTTTTCGCAGTTCATATCAAGGCTCATCTGTACTCCAAAATTATCGGTATACTTTACTCCGAAGATCTTCAAATATCTTGCGTAGACAAATCTTGCTTTTTCATTGATATCTTCATCGACGTATCGTAGACTGTAGCCTACAGTAATCCCCTAGGATTTGGTTCTCGATGCACATCTAAGCACCCTAGCTGATGACCACCTCCATTAACGTTTCAAGGATGACATTGCCACAATATGGTTCTTCTCCCACGTACTATCCTAAGTTTCCACTGATCTTCAAGAAAATATGCTAGGCGAATCCACACGCACGTGCGGGTGGCTCATTGCTATCTGGCATCATCATGCGCTCCGTCCAGGTGTTCGATTGAAGGAAGTCCTGCGAAGCTCTGAAGGAAGCGGAAATATCCGAGCGCAAGTCGCTGTCTCAGTCATCTCTCGCTGGGGGACATCCTTTCCTCCTTGCCGCTTCAGTCCCGAACTCCTCACAACTGAATTTGCCAGTGCCCCCACAGCCCGGAACTACTCCAGATCTCTCGTCTTCACTCCATCATGATCAAGATCGTCAAGCTCTTTGCTGTTGTCGCCGTCGCCGCGTTGGCCCTGGCCGCGCTGCCCCTGACAGAGGCTGCTGCGCACGTGCCCGCTCCGACCCCGGCAGACACCAAGTGGTACACTCCGGGCAATTAATTGGTGTTATCGGAGGCTATTGGTCGACGTCAACATACTACCGCTTGACGGCATAAGCAAGAGAGCCATAATATAACTTGATTCTCATGAATTTGCTTCTCCCTTTGAAAAGTTGAGTCGAACTCGCAAGACTATTGCCTCTTTTCCGTCCCGTAATAATTCTGTTGAAGTCAACCTGAAATTCTAGGGTCATCTAAAAAACCCAGAATATCGACAGTGAAACGGGGTTACATGGAATAGTGACCCTGTCACTATTCCGGGATAGCTACATCGGTCACTCCCCTGGGTGGCCTCAGAGACAACAGATACATTTTGTATGACACAAACTATAGGAAACTTAGGATTTGTATGCAGGCCAAATCTGTACCAACCTATAAATACATTCAGTCTTAGATCTACCGCTTTTCAAGTCAAGTCGTCCCCTTCAGACCAGGGACACGTGAACGGCTGTTCACTTGGAGTTTGTATACTCCTGCTTCCTCTGTTAAGAAGTGCTGTGTGCCCCGTCACACTTGGTAGCACTTGTAGTCAATCCTACGCCTACGCGGGTAGATTGGACTACCTGAATCCTCTGTGGTCTCATCGAGTGAGCCAAGATGGATCGTACGGAGTTTCCCCATCTGAACGACTCGCAGTACGAGTCCGTTCGTAAGATGGCAGGCATCTTTGGGACAGATGCCCTGCGTAGCTTAGCGGCGGCGACGCCGGCTGAGCAGGTTGAGCGTATCAACGCGTTCGACACCTACGAGCGAGGGCTCATCGCCCACGTTCAAGGGTTGCAGGCCACTGCGGCCGCGCCGAAGCCGGTGCAACCGAAGCCCCTGCGGCTGAAGGTTCACCCCTTCGAAGGGAAGGAAGGAGAAAACCTTCACTTCTGGGTTCGAGAGGTTGAGCTCGCGATGGACGCGGCTCTCGTCTCGGACGAGCGACTCCGTGTCGCCTTTGCGCTCTCCAACCTTAGTGGTCGCACTAAGAGTTGGGCATATACGCGCGAAGTGACGACGCCTGGATGCTTCGCATCATGGTCCCAGCTGTGCAAGCAGCTGCGGGCCGCGTTTCTTCCGGCGAACTACGAGTACCGCCAGCGTTCGCGCTTCCTCGCCTGCAAACAAGGAAGGCGCGAGCTGCATGAGTACATCCAGGAGATGCGAGTGCTCACTGCCTCTTTGGTGGGGAACCCCCTGCCTGAGCACATCAAGGTGACCGTGTTCATGGACGGTCTGCGTGTCGGTCCTGCCCGCACGCAACCGTTCCGTGTGCAAGCAAACACTATGGAGGAGGCGATTCAGATCGCCCTCCAGGAGGAGTACAGCCACAAGCAGGCTCGTACCCCCGCCACGGTATGGCAGAGCAACCCTGCCTCTGGCGGTGCGCCTAATGGTAACTCCGGCAATGGAGCGATCAACGGGCCGGTTCCCATGGATCTGGGCATGGCCGAGCAGAGCGACATTCGCTGCTACGGCTGTGGCAAGCTTGGGCACATGAAACGTGCCTGTCCCGCGGGAGGACTGAAGAAGAAGTTCTCTTCGAAGCCCTTTGGCTCTAGGGGTCGCTGGCAGAAGCCGCGCCCCAGGAACCAGGGGAACGCCGGACACCAGTAGGGGCGGGGCGCCCTACTGGGGAAACACTAGGTCTTCATGAGGGGCGTGCGGGTGGCGCACGCCATGGGGACTTAGCCCCTGAGAGTCTCTGTACTCTCGAAGCGGAGAAGGGCAGCGGTGGGCTGCTTGTGGTACACGCGAGTGTACCGGGATACGATCAGCCCTTGAGAATCTTGATCGACTCTAGGGCGTCCAAGAACTTTGCGCGCCGCCAGACTGTCGCACGCAATCGCGAAAGTACGCCGATGCGCTACGAGGCAGCAAAGGCAACGGGCTGGTCTCGGTAAGACTGGCCGGCGGTACGGTGGTAGAAGTACCTCGGGTCCACATGGACCTCACTTTCAAGTTCGAGGACTTCGACAGCACGGAGCCGTTCTTGGTCCTAGACATGGACAAGTACGACTTGATCCTTGGCATGCCGTGGCTGGAGAAGCACGAGCCTTGGATGGACTGGCGCGGCAAGGCCATCGGGGCCAGCCGTCCCCCACGCTCTGACAGAGCTTTGGTGAGTCATGTTCCCACCTCTGGCAGTAGCTGGGGTGCCCGCGAGGGCCACCAGGGCGCAGCAGCGTCTAATGAGTTCTTGGGGTCCGTCGAGACTGACGACGACTCCGACCGGGCCGGACAAGGCTTGAGAGTGGAGGTGCCGGACAGCACCTACCAGGTGGGTAACGTAGGTCCACACGCGGGTAACGAAGTACCGCAGGCAGCAAGGACTGCTGGAGAAGGCGCCGCTGGCGTTGGCGTGGGTAACCAAGTTCCACGCGAGGTCACTCAGACCGTAACTGATGAGGAAGGCATTGCAGGCGCTTCCGATGTGGGTAACATAGTTCCACAGGAGGTCACTCAGACCATAACTGATGCTGGAGTCGCTGGAAGCGCTCCTGGTGTGGGTAACATAGTTCCACCCAGCAAGGCGGGTAACCAAGCTCCGCTCAAGAACAAGGCGGGTAACCAAGTTCCGCTCAAGGACAAGGCGGGTAACGTAGTTCCGCACGAGATCGAGAAGATCGGTGGTGCCGTCCAGGCGGCGCCACGAGACGAAGACACCCGAGGGTCACGTCGTAAGCCGGGCCTAGTCGTGTGGCCGACGACGCCAGTCGCCAGCGACTCCGAGCCTCCAGCCAAGGCTCCAGCCGCCGAAGAGTGTTATCACATCTTCGACGGCGTGACCGGTCGTCTGGTCAAGACAGGAGCTGTCGAGCTTACAGCTCTACCCGAGGTTTCAGAGTTGCTGAACCTTGAGGAGCTCGCCATGGAGGACTTCTTGGCCGAGCTAAAGGCCGGGGAGATCGCAGAGTTGGTTCTCCTCCGACCGGAGTCCACGTCGGCCGAGTTGAACTCGTCCTCGGTCATGGACCAGGCAGTCCTGGAGGAGTTCCAGAGACAGCGCGCGTCGCGCATGGGCTCTGAGATTCTTAAGAACCCCCGGGACCCGGTGTA